TTTTACTCTTGTCCTAGGATGTCATGGACTCATGGCTAACTTTTTTTAAAAAAAAACAAAAAAATGTGTTAGGTTACTAAAGAGGATCTTAGCATCCATTGCTGATAAAGTAGTGAGAAAACATGTGTTAACATCCAAATTTGACATCTAGACATGAAATAAGAAAATATGATCAAATTTGAATAAGATCGGGATTTCCTACATAGGGCTAGTATGATCGCCGGTGTGTGGCTGATCGATCTGATTGGCGACAAATGGACGGTCAAACCGTCTAAGTCCGACTTCGAGTCGAATTTCGTCGGGTCTCAGGCTTCCTTGCTTGGGTTGAGGTTTTTGAGTTTTTATTGGTATCTACCTTGAGTAAGACGTGGAGAAGATTCTGTAGGAGACAAGACCAGTCTCTTTATAAAGGCTATGGCCGGTTCAACTGAACACATAATCTCTTTTCAATACAATTAGCCAATCACTTTTTTTCTTTCTAGTTTTCATCCATCTTTGTCGGTTTGCACTGAAAGCCGTCCATCCTCGATGTGGGTGTGCGAATCTCTTTGTAGGTCTGTCCCAAAAACCTTCCGTTCCACCCACGAGACAAATGTTTATCCCTATTTCATCTAAGCCAGCTTCAACTAGTCAGTTTTGAATTACATAAACCACCTTGGTTTAGATTTATCTAGATCGAGATGGTTGACGACTTTGTAGCACCGCAAAACATTAGGTGTTTTCATCATGATTGACGGCGTAACCAAAAAAGTTACCAACAACATGCACTGAAAGGGATTCAAACTCAGGCTGGTGCACTGCTCGTCTGCTCCTAACAGCTCCCTGCCAGTCGAGGTAGGCACCATTCCCATGGCTAGCTACAGAAAACTACGGTGAAAAAATAACTCTAGAAAAATAGTAACACGATTCCAAGTTCTATTATGCGAAAGTTTATGTCGATGACATCAATCTATTATATTATCAAAACAAACTTGAAAAAAACCACTGTACTCATTCCAAAGGCCTAGAAATTACAATATTAATAGAAGACAGAGAACTTTGTAAACCAGTAGATCATGATGAGTCCAAATTTTAATAGCGAGGATTGATCGATATAGCTGTGCATAGAACAGAAAATTGTATTTGGAGAAACATAATTAACAATTATATACAAGATACAGTTACATCTGTGGGATCAGAAGTAAAATAGTTGTATACCGAATTAACATAATGACGTGATAGTACCCCCTTTTTATTTTTTTTCTAGGCACAGGAGTTTACAGCTGAAAAACTAGAGGGAAATGTATTAACAACACCGACAAATTAATCTACTTCTTTCCTCCCTGATATATAAAGAGTTTAACGTATTGTGGCTTCTGGGGACTTCAGCAAATGATAAAGCAGGAATATATATACCAGCCACATGGCAATGCCCTGAACTCTTCTGACAAAAAAAAAAGAGGACACAAATAATCCCCAAATCTGCAAAGGAAGAGACAAATGGAAGGATACCGATCTACATTCAGATGCATGCACACGTATCAAACTGACATGAGCTACCAAAAAGCTTTGATTTGCATGATCTCTCTCTCTCTCTCTCTCCAGATAGGCTAACACACCAACCTGGCAGTACTTAATTAAGCAAATGATGCACCAATCAGTGACCTCCCTATCACCCTATGCTAATTTCTTATTGAATACCATAGATTTGTCAGTACACAACCACACCAATCCCTTTCTAACAAACTGCAAAAAAAAATGAGTTGATGCCAAATGGCACCAGCTCTTGATGATTCATACCCAACAATTCAACAAAAGCATATATCTATGGGTCTTAAGACCTTTATCATAACAGAGAACATTGTTTGGGAAATGTGCTGGCCACACTACTAAATCAACTTGCCTGTATTGGCATGCTGACAAAGCGATAATGTTGATTAGTGAGCTAAACACATAGATGATGAAAGGAAACATCTAGGTATCATAGCTTTTGATTGGGTATGCACTGAGGTTGAGTACAGTGAGATGAGTACACAACAGCATGCCCAACATGCAATAAATATTCTATCTGTATGTATCTTAATAACATGATTAGTCCAGAACTGGTTTCTTCTTCTGAACTGGTACGAGAACTGGTTTTCTCCTTTTTGAGGACTTAGTCGAACTGGTTTATGATTGCACTTCTGAACTAGACATGTGAAAACCAAGCTAGAAGCACATGATCACTTCAGTGATGCTTAGCAGTTAGCACAGATCCAGTATTAAAGTACACATGCACAAATTGCGTGAAATTAGCAATTATATAACAAGAATACAGTGGGCACAAGGTTGTAATAGTTGCAGGTAGAGTAATTTAGAGCATGCTACAGTACAAGGCAGAGAATTGGCCAGCAGAAGACTACTGGGATTGAAAACTGTCCACATTCAGTTCTAAAATGAGCTGGTGATGTTTCGTTTTGTGAGTAATCCCAAAACAATCATCATTTGAAATGAGTATAGCTATCAACCAATCACTGTCACAGGAAAAACACTGAATGTATAACGCAGAATGACGAAAGAATCGCTTACCAAAGAATAGCAGATAATAAAATAGAAGTTGACAAATGTTGTTCCACCACTTCATGTAGGAAAATATCCACTGCCTGTCATTTTAAGTCTGACCAGCTCCCAAATCCATAATTAATATAAATGCCCCTAGATCATCAGAACTTCTTTTCAAAAGAGCAAAACTCAGAGGTGATTTGTCATCATACAGATATCTCCTTTGGTGAGGGTCTCAGCCCATGTTCTTAATTGGTTCCCAAAGCTCCTAAGCTGTGTTCTTCCCCCATCTTTCCCAACTTACCTTCCTCATTTTCCACACACACGCTTTTCAAACTACTAAACAATGTGTGTTTTGTAAAAAATTTCTATATGAAAGTTGTTTTAAAAAATCATATTAACCTATTTTTTAAAAAATAAATAAATCAATACTTAATTAATCAAGTGCTAATGAGTCACTCAGTTTCTGTGCGGAAGGAATAAGTTCCCAACACAAGAAAACGAACACAGCCTAACATAACAAGTTATTATCTATTAAACACAAGACAAATGAATAGAATAATAAAACAGTAGAAAACTACGTTTCCAGCACTGCCTCTTTAAATACTAAATGCAAAGGTCATTTCATTGCTTTTTTCAACAAATTAATATTCTACAATCCACAGTGCCAAACAATGCGTCGGTGAATCAAATTCAACTTTATTTCCATCAGTATGCCTCTTTGTGTCTCCTTTAGGTTGACACAGGTATTCTATCTTAAATTTGTCATCAGCCACTAGCACTTGGGTGCCAAAATATTGAAGTGCTGGCTCATGTAGAACCATCAGGTTTGATTTTGCACCTAGTGGTTGGTTTCTCAGCATACAACTTATACATAATGTAATGCCTCTTTGCCTACAGAAGATATGATATTTGTCCCAGTTGCAGAGTACAGGAAAAGTGAACACTAACAGTCCATAATGTATAGGGCACTGCATTGCAGAAGAAATAAACTACCTACCAAGGGTTAAGAAAACTTAGCCATCAACAATCGAAAAATTGTTTGGGGAGCCAATGATACTTTTCCAGAAAATACAAAATTCACGGTAAGATGAGCAGTTTTACACCAGCATGTATGTCGTCAGAGGAATCCACATATCAGCTATAGACAGGAGTACAGGTAAGTATCACTACAAGAGAAACAGGGAAACTGGAGCACCACCGTTTCAGTGAATGACAGACGTGCATTCCCAGAGATGACATGTATAGTACAATAATCAAAGAACTAAGTATGCATATGAGATATGACTCAGGATGCTCTCACAGGCTAAACAAAGAAGCTTTCACCTGAAAAGACATACCTTCCTCTGGAAACCAACTAATTGGGGCTGAAATAAGTTGTAGTGCTGCAAAATCCAGTGTGCAAGATGTCTCGATTAAGGACGATACCTTTTTCAGTCAGCAATGGTGGATCACATGTAAGATCCCATAATAAATATGTGGAAGGTGTCATTACGGTGCTGACAAAGCCAGGAGTTTCTGCTGATCTTATGTATCATTAATTAGATTACAGTTTGAGTATTCCACAGCCCACAGCAGCGAGAAGCAATACTGAAAGCTGCTAGTCATTTATAGCATTTGGACGGTCCAGCTCAAGAAAGAACATAAAGTTGGACTCAATCAATGAATCATATCTCAACTGGACTAAGTCTTAAAGCTTCCTATTAGATTATTTAAGTTTGGAAGATTATATCAATAGATACGGAAGATCTAATCCAGTGTCTAAATGGACATTTTACCGCAAAATTTGCATAATGATTCAACTGACTACTGTTAAATGTACTCTAACATTTCAATTCTACATAGTAAATGCTTGGGCTGATAGAAGGATTCCTGTAACAATCAACAAAATTTCACAGATAACTTACATAAGCTTGTGGACCAGGACTACTGATCTGGCCTGTTCCAAAAGGCTCGTATTGATAAAGGACCACCGTGTTTGATTGAAGCTACTATATTCAAGGGCCAAAGGCAAGGCTGCAGTGATTATGGTGGATCCCTTTCATAAATTGCATAGCGATCTTCAGTTGTACAAATACATACTACAAGAATTACACAAAGTTGTGTTGGTTATCTGAACAATGAGTTCATTTTAAAATTCTTTCGGCAGTTCATTCCATCATCATTTACTAGGTTTCATATAGTGCCATCCAATGATCCTTGTGACAAAACAGGTAAAGTTTGATCATATACCCTCCATTTAGATTGAAGTTGAGGATTTACCCTCCTGGTCCACATGTCAGCGATCTTAGATGATCCCACATGTCAGCGGCGCAGGAGGGTAAACAATTCATTTCAATTTAAAGGGAGGGTATATAATAAAATGTTCTCATTTTGTTTTGTTTGTCAACCAAGATCTTGCATTCCTCTTAACAGTTTGTTCCTTCACTTTGGATTGATATCAAGCTATCAGCAATGATGTCAGAAAGAAGAACCAAATGTAACAGATTGGACAAGAACAATAAAATTATTAAAAAATCAAGGATGACTTAAACAGTTAACGTTCTGCCATTTTTTGCTGTTTAGTTTGTAACATAAATAAGAAGATACCACCTGCAACTGAAACATTAAGAGATTCAAATGTACCTTGCATAGGAATGTTTACAAGCTCACAGGCTTGAAGGGTATCTGCCGAAAGGCCATTGCCCTCACTTCCTAACACTAAGCACACTGATTCACTCATCAGTGAATCCGCTAGTTCTTTAGATAGAACATGTGTTCTTTCAGATCCATTACTGCTGCTTTCTGGATGACCTGCCAGCATCTTCATATCAGATTTAGCCATCAAAGCATGCAGATCAGACCAGTTACCAGAAACAACTGGAAGCTGCAATGAGGCTCCACGAGCTGCACGAAGAGCTTTTTCATTGAAAGGATCACAGCAAGCTGGAAGAAGAAATACCCCATCCTGTTGGTAGTTGGTTTTAAATGCTGTTAGAAGCATAGAAATTGGTAAAGACTAACCGAACAACACTACTGAAAGCACTTGAAGAGTTAGTATAAATTTCTGGTAGGCTACACACCATGCAGATATTTTTGTGTGATGGCATATTGGCATGTGCTAACTGCTAACTAAACTTCATCTGATGCTGTATAATAGGAGCATAATTTTTTGTGGAAATGTAGAACACGTATGGGGTTTCTAGCCTTCTAACCCAGAATGTACTAACCTTTTGCTTTCAAAATGTCATTAATAGCATTACACTATCATCCTTAGATGTAAAAACAAGTGCAAACCTAATAATTCTACATACTACCAGTAGTATTAGCTTTTTTATCACTTAAGTTCTACCTTATTATTGAGAAGTAAAACAAGCTGTGATAACTACTTTATATGAAACAATAGGATGGTGTGATCCATGAGACCATGAAACATCAAGTTTTGAGAAATGCAATCAGAGACGCTTCAACAATTAGTAGTAAATGACATACCCATCTGAAAGCACAAGCGGATCTTATCAATGTTCCAAGGTTACCAGGGTCCTGCAGGATAGAACCATTATGGACACAGTAAAAATTTAGAACCCTTGCTTAAGAGGAATCAAATGGACTAGTTCAAACTTAAAATAAACAATAAACAACATATTATGTGCCGTCTTATGCACAAAATGACATCCATTTACTATGGATAATAACGGAATATTGCACACTTCTTTTTACCTGAATCCCATCCAGAACCAAAATCCTCTTTGCAGAGCCGAGCCACTCATCAAGAACAGCTCCACCCTGGTCGCTGTCAAGGTCGCGGAAATACTTAGGCATGTGAATGATAGCGATTGCCTCAGTTGAATCAACTGATTGCATCCCAGAAACTTTCTTCATCACAGCGGCGCTGACATACACGACATTGCCAGAGAACCCGTACAATTCCTCCGGTAGCTCTATGCCGTCCAAGAGAAGCAAGGTTTCGATGGTGGAGAATTCGAAGCTACACATCTCCCTGCACCAAGGCGTACGAGTGCAGAATTAGGAAAAAAATTCATCTCAGAATAAAACAAAATAAGGGAATTTCGCAGCTTAGAATAGAGAAAAGTTTACAGGATGGGGATGAGTCCGACGAGGAGAATGCGGCGGCAGGAGCGGCGGTACGCGGAGGAGAGCCTGAGCCTAACGCAGTGCTTCACCAGGGGGTTCGCCACGCTCGCTACCTGCTTGTGGTTTTGCTCGCCCCGGAAAGGAGCAGCCTTCGCCACGGCGGCCGTCGCAACGGAGCCGCGGGTCCAGGGAACGCAGTATGGGCGGAGTATGCTCTCCCGTTGCGGCGGCGAGCTGACCGCCGAGGGCATCGCCGGCGGCGGCGGAGCGCGCGCCAGTAGCATCGCGGCGGGCGGCGGCGAGGCGCGTGTCTCTTCCCTCGCAAATCGCAATACGCGCCTTATCTACTCGGCGGTGGGCCAAATTAATTAGCGGAAAGAATTCGTTATTGGGCCTAAACTGTTTGGGAAAATTAATGGGCCAAATGTACCTGTGGCCCGATTTCGTTGACTGGATTTAGGTGGCCGAAATCATTTGCTAACGATAATTAAGTGGGCCAAATTTAGTGATGGGCCGAAATTGTTCGTGGGAGTTACGTCGTTCCAATACGATTGAGGGCCTAATTCGTTGACAAGAATTGAGTCGGCCAAATTTATTGACGGGCCGAATTCATTGATGACAAATTAGCAGGCCAAATTTAGTAGCGGGCCAAAATTTTTTAGAAGAATAAAGTGGTGCAAATTCCGTGGTGGGCTGAATTCGTTATTGGGAATTAGTAGGCCAAATTTCGTTATTGGGAATTAGTGGGCCAAATTTACTCATGGCCCGAATTCGTTGAAATGAAATTAGTAGCCCAAATTTCCCAGTTGGTTGACGGAATTTAGAGGGTCAAATTTTCTCTCGGGCTCAATTTGTTGACGGGAACCCATGAGACCAAATCTACTCATGGGCCGAATTAGTTTACGGAAAATAGATGGACCAAATTTATTTTTGGGCCAAATTAGTTGACAGAATTTAGTCGGCCTAATTTACTCTTGGGCTCAATTTGTAGACGAGAATCTATGAGGCCAAATCTACTCATGGGCTGAATACGATGTCGAGAATAAGACGGCCGAATTTATGCTTGGGCTGAATTCGCTAATGGGTAGCAGATGGACCAAATCTTTTAGCGGGCCGAATTTGTTTGCGGGAATTTCGTGGGCCAATTTCACTGATGGAGTTAACTGGGACCAAATTTGTTGGTGTGCTGAATTCGTTGAGGGTGGGTTGAACTCGTTGATGGATGTGTTGGGCCAAATTCACTAGTGGATCCAATCGTAGACTTCTGTGGGTATTTGCTATTTTGGTTTGGGAAATTCATTTGTGGACCGTATTTGCTGACATGAATTAAGCAGTCTGATTTAGTTGATGGGAAGAGGTGTGCCGAATTCATTCGTGGGACTAATTCGGTGAAGAATAACAAGTTGGCTGATTTCCGGCCTAATTGGGCAGAGGATTTGTCTGAATTCATCTCGGCTACTCCAGTTTCAGAGAATTGAGCATTCTCAGGTTGGTTCCACGCAGAATTGGACAACGGTGTAACCTGAGGCAACATGAACATAAAACCAACTTGCCCTGCATCAGTACTCTAGTTTACTACAAATTCTCAGCTACAACGAACTCTAGAAGCTCATTTTCAAACTGGTTGTATAGAACGGAAGTATTTGAAACTACATTTGCTTTGAATATAAATTTAAGATTCAAATTCACTCAATTCAAGGTTTTCATGGCAGCATATCATTCCCAAACTCATAACTCCGGTGATCATTATTCATTATTCGCACTCAAGATTAGGTGTTCAGTTTACAACTTTACATGTAATCCATGGTGTTCTTCGTCTGTCAGGTGCGAACTAGAAAATGGTATTTTTACAAGAAAGCACACTTTTTTACATGCCAAACAATCGCTAACAGAGTAACAGCACTGAAGATGGAAAATTGTGAGCTGAGGAAAAAGCCCCTTTCTCCACTTTCAAAGAAAGTCCTTAAGACAACATGAGCTCCCGACTGCAAACACCACTGTGAAGGACGAGAACTGAGAGTTAGATGAGAATATAAGGGGAAAAATGAACAGATTAAACAATGTAGAGATTGAAATTTCTGGTGGTGTCACCTCTTTAGACACGGCTCACTCATCACCCATTGCAAGCTCCAGTGCATAATCATCCCTTTCCTGAAAAAAAAGAGCAGTCCACTATGTCTGAGAAAAGCTAGAAGATATAATTTCATGTTTAAAGTGGAATTGGAATAACAGTGGTGTTGACAACCACAGCCAACATCAACAGTTATGCGCTTATGCTATAAATTGTCTACACGGGAGTTCCTAGGCATAAAAACTATGAGTTGTGAAATACAAATTTAATAATACTTACAACAGGTCCTCGTGCGAAATATCTTCCAAACTGGAGCCAGTAGACCTATACATTGAGGTGTTATGTGCTTAGTGGAACATGTAGGACTTATCATAAGAATTCAGAAGAATACAGTCTAGTTCCTTCTGTATGGTTAGATAAGACAGTTACTACTATTAACAAGGTGGCTTAATGCTTGCCTCATCTTCATCTTGTGTTTCAACTTCAACATCAGAAGTTGGAAAACCAACACACAACAATGCATAGCCCTGAAAAAGGAAGTAATAAGACATGCAACATATCACCATTTCAGTTTTTGTTATGCCAAATAGAAGAATCAGAATAATGAATGTTTTATAGGCACACAACTAGAACACCTAATTCACACACTAATTAAAGAAAACAATACAACTCTATCTTACCAAAATCGAAGGGAACCTTTAAGGATCCTAACAGGTCAACAATTCATCTCCAAATCAGTTGTTTTAGATAGTACCATCCAAACTATTGATTACAAATAAATGTGATACTTTTGTAACGAATAAAAGAAATTGTGAAGCTGAAGGCCATGAAACCTTGCAGGAACATCAATTGACTTGTAAAGAATACTAACTGGGTAGGATCGTGTGTTACTAATGGATAGAACATAGACACTGTTGAAACCACTGAGTAAATTGAGGAATGAGGCGGATCAAGTGGCAAGCAAACTGTAGCAGAAACAGTAAAAACATGATATACTTAATTAATAGTGACAACAAAGCATAAAAAGATGGATGCACCTTATCTTTTAGTTCAGCAGATATTCCAAGTGCTTCAGGTTGTCTTATTTGTCCTGACTTTATCCGAACCGCACAGCTAGTACAGCAACCTGATTAGAAAAATGTGTCTTCAGTAATTCAGAAGTATAGTCGCCTGGTTGTATTTGGTTTTTTGTTTTGGTCAATCTGCTGGTTTTGCATGCCGAATTGCTGATGATGTAACTTTTCTTTCTCCATCTTAATACAAAGTGAGCAATCCATTTGCACATTCCCTAAAGTAATTCATTTGCTTATCTATATTGTAGATCAGAAGAAAAGGGAGAAATGATACGCTAGCCAGAGACTACACTGGCTGAGTCCAAAAGTAAGCAACCGCTTGTGTCAATTGATCAACATGGTACGGCACACGTTTTTCTTGCTTAATGTGTTCCTTTGCCGTGATTAAGCATACATAATACAATACGAATAACATTTGACAAACAAGTAAAAAAATGCTTCCTTTTTGTGCAACTAAAATCTAGCAGAGTATGATGGATTTGTCTAAGCAACGACTAAGCCTTAAAGTCCAGCACAGATTAACTTGACTCTTAGGGCAGTCCCAACTCATAATATCCATAAGCAGTGTCTATGGTGCCATGTTAATAAGACATCACAATCAAAACTACACTCTACAACCCATGGTTTTTTAAAGTGGGCCATTAATAAATACATCATCTCTCTTCTCTACCAATCATATTTAATCTTCATCTATTATGAAGACACTATTCTCTCCCAATGTAAAACTTGATAGTGTCTAGTGCATAGGTTCTCGTGTTGAAGCTGTGTCTTGCATGAGACCCAGTTTCTTCCTCTCTTCAATCTCTCTCTTAATTAATATAGTGCCGCATAAGCTAAAAGTCCTACATGGCAATGTAGTTAATGTCATAGACACCATACTAGGTGGAGGGTTGGGACTGCCCTAATAAGCTTGAGTGAGCGAGTGAGTAGTGAGGGCAAAGTGTAGCCAATCAGAAGAAAAAATGTGTCCTGGGAAAGGCACGAGGATGGGAGCCTACCATGGCGGCACGCGAAGGGCAGCGTGATGTCCTGCGCCTCCGCGGTGTGCAGAATGTACTGGTCCTGCGCCCCCCAACCACGGCACGAATCAGACAAAGCACAAGAAGGAGAATTGCGCTACTGCTGCTTGAGACGGCATCGAAGGTGTGTGTGTATTGATTAACCTGTGGGACGACGAACTCGTGGACGACACCTCTCTGGCGGTCGTGGACGGTGACCTTGTGGGTGGGAGCGGGCGAGGAGGACGAGTACGCCCTCTCCGACACGGGGCCCTCCACCTGCCGCAGCCCGGACGCCCGCGCCTTCGTCGTCGTCGTCGCGCCCCGGGCGGGTCGGCGAGCCGTCGTCGCGGCGAACGGCGGCGCCCCAATGCGAGTTCTGACGATCGAGAGAGGGAGAGAAGCAAAAGGTGATAAGGTGATAAATGTCAGAGAGGAGGAGGAGTGCTGGGTGCAGCGGACGTACGTGGTCGCGGCGGGGCACGGAGCCATGGCGATGGCTTGGCAGCCGGAGCAGCTAGGTTGCTTGTCCCGCGCGCGGTGGTGGCCGGTAGGGAGCGGCGCGAGCGAGCGGAAGGGGGAAATCACGAGGGGGGAATCGGGGCGAGGCTGTGGAGCGGAGCGGATAAGGGGAAGGGAAGAGGGACGGACGCGCGCGGCCGCGGGGGCGGTGTGTGAGCTCCAGCGCGCGAGTAGGCAGTTGGTTGGTTTGGGCCGCGGGGATGCGCGCGGTTGGGTGAGTCGGCGGCCCATCCCATGGAACATGTCAGCCTGTCGACGGCGCCGCTAGGAAAAAGTCCACTTTGACTCCCTTAATTGTTCACCGAATCTAATTCGTGACCCTTAACTAGAAAACCGGGTAGGACGATTCCCCCAATTACTAGAACCGGTACAAATCGACTCCTATGGTAGTATTGTGGGCGGTATTCGATGACGTGGCACCTTGACCGTGGTCAGCACTGTGAACTTAGCTGAGGATGGAGGGAAATAGATAAGTAGCTGACAGTGGACCATCGTGAGCTAAGTCAGATCCAGATGGGGCGACGGCTTGGGTGGCGCTGGGGGCCGCATGCGTGTTGGCAGCGGTGGACTGCGGCCGTCCCCCCTCCCCTTCTCGTCCATATCCGGTGATGGCGGCGGCGATGGAGAAGACTGGCGCGAAGGCCGGGCGGAGTTGTGGCGACGGCGGCGGTGGTGGTGGCGACAACGGCGGTGGCCCCCTCTCTCCACCGTCGCTCGAGAGGAATGACCTGGCCTCTCCACTTTAGGATGTCCGCGCCGCCTACCCCGACGACCTTAGCCCCATCCGCCCCCTCTCTCTCCCCGCCTGCGCCGACCGCCGCCACCTCCCCCCAGCCGCTTCCTCGTGCCTTCCTCGCCGCCGTATCCCCGATGCCGGCACCGCCCACCCCCGCCCTTCACCGGCCGCTGTAGGATCAAGGAGGCCGACTAGAGGGGGGGTGAATAGGCGGTTTTAAAACTTAATGGCACTTAAACAAAACTAACCTAAGTTGCTAGGCAAGGTGAGGTGCAAGGTTAACTAAGCAACTAAGTTAAGTTTTGCAAACCTAAGTGATATGGGCTCAAATATGTCTCTATGAATGTAAAATAGCACAAATGTAAATGCAACAAATAAATGAGACAAGAGACAAGGAATTTTTCACCGAGGTTCGGAAACTCTCCGGTTTCCTAATCCCCGTTGAGGCGAGCCCAACTCCACCGCTCAACCACGAAGCCACCGCACGCCCCCTTCGTCAAGGGGTGGGCAAGGCGGGAGCCGGCCCACGGAGAGGACTACCCAAGCCTCGATCACTCGGGGTAGTTCTTCTTTCACTCCGAAGGTGGTGAACTCTAAACCACTCACAAACGGTGCTGGGCCTCCTCCACAATCTCCTCGGAGAGGTCACTGGGCAACACCTCCACGAGCCGTCTAGGAGGCGGAAACCTCCAAGAGTAACAAGTCTAGGATGCTTGCCGAGGATGATCAAGTGCCACACTAGCTATAACAATGAAGCAATGCACTTGGATTGGCTTAACTCACTCTCTAACACCTCACTAGATAAACTAAGTGCACAAGGGTGTGAGAGCTCTTGCAAGGGTTCAAGATAATGCAATGGAATGCCAAAACCTTACCCTTGCTGCTGGGGAGTGGGTATATATACCCCCAACCACCAAAACTAGCCGTTGGAACCGAAATCCCCAACTTTGTGCTCTGCCGGTCAGACCGCCGTTGTGAGGCCGGTCAGACCGGACTACTTTGTAACGGCTAGAAAACTAGCCGTAACGGCTAGAAAACTAGCCGTTACAGGGCAATCATTGAGCCCAGTCAACCTGGCCGGTCTGACCGCAGTGTAGTGGCCGGTCAGACCGTCCACGGCTCGGTCAGACCGCCGTCGGCTCGGTCTGACCGGTTGCGGCTCTGGCGGCTCTGTATCACTACCAAAAACCAGACCAGTGCAACAGACCAGTGGGGCCGGTCAGACCGGCCTTACCACGCCGGTCAGACTGGCTAACAGACCCGGTCAGACCGTCCTAAGGCCCACGGTCAGACCGCAGGTAACTTTTCAGCTCAACCGACCGTTAGTAAAACGGCGATATCTCTTGACTCGGGTCTCGGAATTTGGCGTTCTTGGACTCTATGGAAAGCTTATTCAAAGGGCCATCCAACCCATGAAAAATCCATCCAAGAAACACAACTTAAGTCAAGGATAAAGGGCTCACACTCCAAAGGATATTCACCGGACATACCCACAAGATGTTACTCACTCCTATTGGACATGCCCACTTCTCTCTTGGTTTAGGACTTGAGAAAACTCATCACACTTGGTTAGACAAGCCCACAAAATGCACCTACATGCATATGAACTAATATGGCACAAGATCATCCACAAGCTCGCTTCATAGACCCCTCTTGATAGTACGGTGCCTATCTAGCAAATCCGGTCTACACCAAACACCAAGACCGGGAAAAGACTAAGAAAACATTCTTAGCTACATTATACCTTTGCCTTGCGCCATCCATCTTGGGGTCAAGCTTGAGCCGAGATCAACACTTGTGACCATCCGGTTGAACCATGTTTATGCCGAGGTCTTGTCCATCATTTGTCAAGACTTTATTCTCATCACAAGCTTGACTTCATTCTTGCCAACATGACGATGTCCTTGGCTTGGTGACCACTAACCCATGGTGTCATTCATTAGCCTCATCGTAGTGGGACCTATTCCTTTTCACACCTCAAAGGAGAACATTAGTCTCAACAAATCGGTTGTCATCCTTCACTTGATGACCAACCGGTTGCATATGAAAGATATGGATATGTTTGTTGAGTATTCATTAACATCACAAGTGTCATATACTCGTATGCAAGCTCAAGTGCAAAGATCCGATATAAATAATAGGTGAACAACATGGATCTAGAACATGCACAATAAATGTATAGGATTTGCTCCCCCTAAATATATGCATACAAATAAATATACAAGAGATGCAAGTGTATGCATAATTAGAGAATGACCAATGGGGGTTTATCCTATACATATAGAGAAGACATATGTAGTAATGATGTAGACCAACATAAAACATATACCTTCATGATCTCCATGTTCTCAATGTAAATGAGACTAAATAAGATAACATTCGAGTAAACATTAGTCTCACACTTATATATCAATAACATGGAAATCATATATATGAACCTATCAAAAAGTAGGAGATAAGAAGTGGTACATATCGTTTTATCTCCATGCATTTCATCCTTGTCATGATTAAGGTCCATCACAAAAGAATGCATGTCTTCCACATCTCATTATCGGGAAATAACCTAGTAGACAACTTATGCAAAAGAGAGGTTAATCCCATAAACATCGGTTTATCATCTATCACCAAAGTAACAATTACACAAATTATTTAATCCAAGATCTTTCAATCTTTTCTCTCTTTGGTGATGGATAATAACCCGATATAAACAATATAGAGAGATGAGATGAAAACTGATTTCAAATCAAGATAGAAATCTTATAATAAACAAAATATAGAATAAGCTCCCCCTCAAGATGTGCATACATATGGATATGAAGGAACGCATATGCACATAATCAATAAAGATCAAATAGGAAGCTCACACTATATTTTGGATCCACAAGAGAGACCAAGTTAGAATATGTGAAGTTTAATACATACCTCTCATCATTTTTACTTCCATATCCAAATGAGACTAGTCAAAGAAAGGCTCATAAAAACGTTAGTCTCATATAATTAGATTTGTCATTAATCACCGAAACCAAATTAAGGCACTTGAACTTACAGCCGCTCTCATGTTACCGCCGCCCACGGTATCCTCTATCCCGTCGCCACGTCCTCCGCCGCCTCCTCTCCCCTCTCCCCTACACGAAGATGAGCAGCGGCGGCGGTGATGACTGGAGGGGAGGCCGATCTGCATCTGTGTCGCCGCTGTCGCCACTCCAGCCCCCGCTCGCCATCGCCGCTGATCCGACTCCCGCTCCCGAGGTGCATCCAAAGGGGGAGAGAAAAGAGGAAGAAGGGAGAGAGAGGGAGGAGGAAGAAGGGAAGGAGAAAGGATGACATGTGGATCCCACAATATATTTTGTGTGTGATTGACAGATGGGTCCCATAGATATTTTTTAATTCTAATGCCACACAAGCGCCACGTGGGACGAAGACTGGGTCAATGCCGCCATGTCAACAAAACCGCCCTCGAAAACCGCTGGAGGAGTCGATTTGTACTGGTTCTAGTAATTGGGGGAGTCATCCTACCTGATTTTCTAGTTAAGAGTCACGAACTAGATTCGGTGAACAATTAAGGGAGTCTAAGTGGACTTTTTCCATGCCGCTAGCATAGCTAGCTGCATGTGGGCTGGCTGTCGGCACCCGGGGAGGGGGGGTGGGGGTGTGATTAAGGTCATCTTTGGGGGTTAAGGGATTTTGGAGTTTTTAACCTTAAATTTGGAGCTGATTTTAAGGTTTTTTTCATCGAAGTTTATTTTTCAGCATTTGCTTTTAGATCGTTAAGAACATGCATATAAAAGTTTTATTCACAAATTACTTTTCGTTTGGATATATGTCGTTTCGCTTATTCCGCGAACACTCCCATTTTGCTCTGTATCTTACTTTAGACTTCATATTTTAGCAAGGTCATTTTCATAAAATTTAATGGATTTACATGTGAAAATGGAGAGAAAAAAGTTACACTAGGCTTGTTGGTTGCTTTCAAAACCTTTCGACATGTTCAGCTTGTTGTTTTGTACTAACTGATAACAATAAAGAAGTATTCTTTTCGAAAAAAAAAAGTATATAAATAGAAGTATAAAAACTGTACCCTAAACTTATTTTCTTTGTTTCGATCACATGTGTTCAACTTTACGCAGTTAAAAAAAAAAGTCAATCAGCTGTACGTTCCCAGATCCTCATTGATGGGACGATTATATTGTTTTTATTCTTCACTACCATAATTCGGCTGATCTCCGGTGTACTAAAGAAGTTAGGAATCTGATTCGGATACTCGTATGTTATTGTGCCCTAGTACATTCTGGGAAAAAAACATGGTAAAGACTGATGAGATTCGAGTTTGCATGTTAACCTGTTGTCATTCTTAAAAGAACAAAAACATTATTGTTCACGTACTCACGTTGGATCGGGTCAGACCATCAGGGTAGCACAAACCATGTAATCACATTATTCTTAGATTAGATGAAGATTCATCTCATATTACATCTCTGGAGATCCTTTTTTTTAAAAAAATAAAAGAATGGCCAATAACAATGGTAGATAGGACTTTAACTAGATGTTTCAACTCGTATCTTAGTTTTAGTCAACTATTTGAATACGGAACAATTTTGACAGGCATGAACTTCTTTCGGTACCTAAATTTGCACCACCATGAGCATAATAAAAAGGCTACTAGCCCATCCTTCGATAGTTGTTTATTGGTTAGCTCAGTGGTTGCCTCTTTGATCAGTCCCAAGAGCCGCCTCCTGTAGTCCTCTGCTGGATTCTGTCCTTATTTTTCTTTCCTAGGAGGCTGGATTACAATGTCGACACTCGACAGCCAGGCTATGGGCACCCGGCATTGCACATGCAAAATAATTTCAACAAATTAAGCAAATTGCGCATGTCAGACCCCAGTTTGTTGGTGGTCAGAAGTTGTAACCATCTTCTAATGTAAGGTGCTGTAACGAAATATCTATTGGAGACTTACAGTTGGAACAACAGAAAATAAATTCTAAGTAGGGCTGAAGACAATTTGTTTGTTAGTTTTTCAATCTTCTTCCTTCAAAGATTAGAATAAGTGGAAATGACGCCCTTGATCAGCAAGTAAGCGAGCGGTAGTTCAGTCTCCGACAAGTGAGGCCGAACTAGCCCCTAGATCGGCTCTCATGGTGGGGGAATCAGAGTCAAGTTAGGTGCAAAAGAGGTAAGTTTGGAACTGATCCAATGCAAACATATGCAATTTTTTTAACGAATCGGCGAGCCGCTAAACAAGGAAGGAGTAAACTGCACAGTATAAAAGAAAAAACAGGACCAAAGCTTTGGTCCTAACAAACTAAGTTATAAGCCAATTTCCCAGATGTTTTGCTCCTGCTAAGATCCATGCTCTGGCCTCCTCTTTGATTTTCGTCAGCAAGCTATTCGACAAGAGCTCCTTTTGCTGGAAGGTTCTACGGTTTCTTTCATTCCAAATCTCTCCCAGACGACCAGCAGCGTCAACGAACGGAGGGCCTTCTTGGGGGCTTCTTTGGTGCTTGTGATTAACATATGCAAAATTTAAGATGGAAGGAGCAGATACTCGTGCAGTACAAGGAATATACAAACCCATAATTTGTGAGGAGACAAGAACAATCAATATCAAATATTGAAATTTAACTAGCCAAGTTAATAAGGCTATAAAATGCTCAGATTCTTTTCTTTCTTACCGGTTGGGGATGTTGTCAGAACCTGTGGTAAATAGACCATCTCTAGCACTTGCCAGCATTGCGGCCAATGATGATCTTCACACCAAAATATAATCAGATTTCGCTTGGATTCATGCCGCCCGTGTAACCTGTCACCACTGACCACATGAACAGCATGTGAAAGCAACTGGTACCATCTGCTGTGGCCAGATAGCGATGAGCAAGAAGCTGCCAAGGAGCAGCAACGGATCCATGCCTCTCCCCTGTGATCCAACCAGCATATGACCTGGATCAAAAACGGAAGAAAACATGGGAAGCATATGCACTTGTCAGTACAGTAGTATTTGTTTACTATATACTTGTTCTTATTCCAGGCATCAACATCTGCGACTCTCCACGGCGCTGAAGAGCTAAGCCGCCTTCTCTTCCCCTCACGTCCACCCAAGAGGCCATCCATCTCTCTCTCTCTCTCTCTTGACCCTATCTCCTCTTCGCCGCTTTATCCTGCCCATTTAAATACCCATACTGTGCTTCTTGGGGAGAGAGAAGGGGAGAGAGAGAGAGAGAGAGAATGGCATTGCAGCAACGACCGGGGATGCTCGGCATTGGCTGCAGCAACGTCTTGGCACGAGCAAGGGTGCAGCAATGTCTAGCAGCGGCGTCCCACTCCAATATGCCATGTCTACCCGTCCTCCTGCATGTCAATGGCAGCAAGAAGCAGGGTAGCAGCTTCCTTTCTTCTCAGAGGATCGGCTTAAGTAGGAGGAGGAGGAGGAGGGACCTGAGCGGCGTCGTTGTCGCGGAAGTGAGCGCCGCCGCCGGTGTCACGCCGGCGTCGTCGTCGTCGTCGCCTGGCGGCATCAGCGTCAGCGATGTTCTTTGGCCCTCCGCCGGTGAGTCTGAAACTTGAAACTTGTCTTCTTCGTCGGCCTTCGTTGGCTGGGTCTCTGAATCTCCGTGCTTTTTCGCCAAGTGAATTCAGCGAGGGCTTGGTTTCCTCTCTGTGATATATTTTTGTTGAATGGTTGTGCAGAGAAAAAAAAAGACTATTTCTTGCATATAGTAGTGGCAAAACCACAAAAGCCGTCGAGAGTTTGATGGTTTTGCCAATAAATTTTATAGAAAAGAAGGCTCACCTGACATATTTTTCCTCAAATAATGATAACGTGCAGGTGCATTCCTAGCAATGGCCGTGCTGGGAAGGATGGATCAGATGATGGCGTACAAGGGAGTATCATTGACAATTGCCCCTCTCGGAGCAGTCTGCGATGTGCTTTTCACCGCTCCAGGCTCACCTGCTGCCAAGGTATGAATAGCTTAACAGTTAAATATTTTAGTTACAACATCGACAGTGACTCTTCAATACTACAAGAAAAATTTTCTATGCATAATGCTACCTTTTATTTTTTTTATGGGAAACAAATGTTCTATTATCCTTTTCTAAGATTTTTGGGCAAGTCGGAAACCCTAAGATGCACAGATGAATTAATCGCTGCCACTTACTGTACTGACTGAATCTAATGGACACCCAGATTATGTTGATTTGCAAACTAGTTTCTCAAATTAGAAAAAAGATCTACTAAAAAATCTGCAGCATGTAGTAGCAATATAATGCTTCTAAATTTCAGGGTGTCCATGTTGTCGTCGACTGAAAAACTATGGCTCATAGAACTCAGTTGAAGGCTTGGAACCATACCTCTGTTTTCCTTTCTGTAGTCATGACTGAACCACAAAAGTAGTTATGTACGATTTTTCGGTGTAGTAAAAATCATTAGGTGTTTCCATTTGGGTTAATTTTTTGAGATTGGATGAACACATTCCAGTTGGAGTCCTACAACAAATCTAAAAACATTCTTAGATCATACGTGAAATCAATACTAATACTAGCAGGTGACAAAATCTTGCAGAAATACAACATGTTTGTTGCCCAGATTGGTTGTGCGGCATTTGGTGTGTTAGCCCTTTCCTTATTTGGGCCTGGATGGTTGGCAAGAGGTGCTGCTCTTTCTGCATCCATAGCATTCATGACAATTACAGGCGCCTCACACCCTCCAGGTATATAATCTTTCTTTCAACAGGGATGTGGTGCTTTAGATGTGCTCAGCAGGATTTAAAAAAATATTTCTGATTGACATCTGTTTTTGTACTCTACTTAAATGCATCATAGCAAAGCTCACCATTTCCATGATGATTGCAGCTGCAAGCTTGCCTCTCTTGTTTATTGATGGTCCAAAGTTTCACCACTTGCAACTCTGGTATGCCCTTTTTCCTGGAGCTGCAGGCTGCATAATTCTTTGCTTGATTGTAAGTATATTTCCCCTCCCAGCTTCCTTAAAGTAAATGAGATTATCAAAAAGAGAAATATAGCATTAACCCTCATACTGTACTTGTTTCAGCAAGAGGTGGTGATTTACCTGAAGAAGAATTTCAAGTTTTGATTCAAGCGGTGCATTACTTCTCGTAGCAATGACATGACTAAAATTCAAGATTGTACCACAATTTGCTAGAACTGCATTGGGGAGAAATGGAGGAAATGCAGATTTAGTTTCCTTGGTCTTATTTACTAAACAGGAAGAGGAGAAAAAGCAGATTGATCGATACCTGATTGTGAATTTGTGATCACAGTGCAGAACATGCAAATATGAAGTACATACCAATATCTCATTTAATGAAATCTGATAAGTGTACAAATAAAATTCCTTCTTTTGTGATTCATAATTGCTTTCTTCATGTAATATACAATTTTGCACAAAAAGAAAAAAGGGAGGAAGGAAGTTCACCTCTGTTAATCTGAGGGAGATTGAACTATTTATCCTGGCTCCTGGGGCACGATTGCAATTGCATGTACAGTTGCAATAATTACAGATTGCACATGTGAGGCAACTAGAATTCAAAAGGAATTAAAATTATGAAATATAAGTGGAAGCGCAGGAACACCAAAAACCATCTATGGAAAACCTACAGCAGGGGCACGCTAAACTAATACTCCCTCCGTCCCATAATATAAGGGATTTTGAGTTTTTGTTTGTATTGTTTGACCACTCGTCTTATTCAAAAATTTGTGCAAATATAAAAAACGAAAAAGTTGTGCTTAAAGTACTTTGGATAGTCTTATTCAAAAATTTGTGCAAATATAAAAAACGAAAAGTTGTGCTTAAAGTACTTTGGATAGTAAAGTAAGTCACAAAAAAATAAATAATAATTCCAAATTTTTTTGAATAAGACGAGTGGTCAAACAGTTCAAGCAAAAACTCAAAATCCCTTATATTATGGAACGGAGGGAGTAGAACCACAACAGGATACATTGCTGAATAACTTAATTACATAATTCCTCCTGCACTAGTCCTCCCCCTGCTTCCCCACCTTATATACTTGGCTAATCAGTCTATTTGAGTCTCAGGAATAAAGCTATCCACTAATATGTGTCACTATACATCCCAGCCATCACCTCGGCTGTTAAAGAACCTCTTAGCAGTTAAATTTCCATATATTTCTGAAAATTTAGCCAGGCATTTGCTCCTAACATGATAGTGTGCTTGTGTGTTTCGGCTGATGGCAACTCCTGAGAACTTGGACATATCAATTGCCCAAGCTGGCTTTACATACTCCACTGTGCTTGTCAAGCTTGCATTTGCAAACAAGAAATTTAGAAGGATATCCTCACAATTGAAGAAACTGTCTACAATCTGTCTTCCTACCTCAGCTTCCTTGCTCCAATATTTCTTGAAGGCCAAACCATGGTCCATAAATGCTGCGCCTGTGAGTACCATGTTATAACCTCCTTGTTGCCGAGCATACCTCTCATTGCGGTATTCCAGTGGGCTGCCTTCAGAAAGGCGTGGATAGTACCCAATGATCCTGTCAGGGTGCTCCCTCCACACCTTGAACCCACGCTCTAAGTCATCGCATGTCATCATAATATCATCATCAAGCTCCATAACAGCTTTTGTCTTAATTTCACTGTCTATGTTGAATCTGTTGTTCAGAGAGTTCCTATCCTCAACTCTGATCCTAACAGGAACGACTGACTTCAATTCACCTTGAGCTGGGGGCTGCCCTTTGTTCCAGACCACTACAATATCCCTCACCGATGCACAATTGGAATAATGCTCCACAAACATCTTCAGATTCCAAAGCCGGGCATCGTAGGTCATAGTCAACAATGTGAACTGTGAGTACTTGCCCTTGATTGGATACGGTTCTTCTGCACCGTTGCCCCCATAGATGTAGTGAGTTCCAACACAAGTTAGAACCACTAAAATTAACATTACTACAACTACATAAACTCGCCCTTTACAGGTTCTGTAGTTAATCCTTCCACAAATAAGAGATCCCAGTTTGTTCAAATTGGAGATCAGAGAGCTTAGCTTATGGTATAGAAAGAACCTCTGCTCTACATTGAAGAGCCCACTCCTTTTCTCAGTATGCGGGAGAGACCATCTGAGTGGTAAGGAACAGTTAATTGTACCAATAAGCCCACCAGTGACAAGAACTAGTATAAGAACAACTCCATAAATCATGTAACCTATGGTCAGACGGTGAACTGAGTCACCTGAAGGTACTCTGTCACCATCCATTACACCAATCCAAGGTTTACCTGATGGAAGCTGCTGGACATCAAGGTGATGTGAGCGTGCCCCATTCCATGCATTCCGGCCCTTGAGTTGCTTGTTGATCACAAATGGGACTTCAACTTCTTTGTATTCATTTGACTTCAGGATTTCAACTTTGAACACTTGGATACCATGGCCAGATCCACCCCCTTGGCCTTTACCAACACGATAAAGATTGCCATTGTAAATGAATGGCCTGCCCCCATTTCTAGTGCTTAACATTTTACCTGTGTTATGAATCAGATTCTGCTTGTGTGGAATCCAAGGACTAAGTGGAGAATTACTGTACCAAATACTGATCTCTCTATTTCGTTTTGCACCATAAGAACTTAAATCTGTTCCAAGGAGCCAATAGGAACCCTGGAAATTTATGATAACCGAATCTACCAATGGCTTCTCCAAAAGGACCTTTTCCAATTCCCACTTGAGCGGAAAATCTAATGCACGATACAAACGAATATCTCCATTCTTGCTGCTTTCAGGCATCATATAGACCTGTGCAGTTAGTCAAGTAAAAGCATATGTGACTATGTGAGAATGATTGCAATAGCAGTTTTCTCCAACCTGTGAGTGAAATATTTCACCTTGTTTTTGTAGGTAAACACATATGGGTACGAAAGATGCCATTCCTCATCTAACACTACTCCCAGCTGCTGCCATGTCACTCCGGCGTCCTCGCTCACAGCAGCAGCAATGTCGCCTTGCGACGTAATGGGATTCTTTGTCTCAAAAAACATGTAGATGGCATCCCCCTGAAAACAATTCAGTTGCACATCCATCAGGGCTGGATACAGACCACCATGATCGTGAGCGAGGACGCAGTAAATACACATAAAAGTGACATGAAAACCAATAAATTTACATCCTCAGATATCAGATACTCCAGACAGGTGAGTTAGAGATTTGAATGATTTAATGCCCACTGAAGTAATCGAATCGTGACATTCCTGCCGAGATTGCCAATGCGAAGGGATACTTCAAAATTGAGATGGGAACACAGTGAAAAGCTGGTTCGAAGAACCTGGAGGAAGAGGAAGGGCTTGGCGACGAAGCTGCTGGGGAACCCGGCGTCCTCCACTTCGGCGCACGTCACCACCGGGTTCGCCACCGGCCACGCCGCGCCGTCGGCCTTCGAGATCCCCCACTGCAAGGCACGGAGATCAGCCAAGTCATCTGGCGTCGTTCGATCGGCACCCCCCCCCCCCCACGCATCGCACACCGAAACCTAATAAGCAGGAGCTCTCGCGTGTTCTAGGGAGCAGTTACGTGTTCGATGGGCTCGAGGGAGAACGGGGAGTCGCCGAGGAAGACGCCGGCGGACCAGGAGCCCTCGGCGTCGGGGCGGCAGCGGCGGGTGGCGGGCGGGTGCGGGAAGCGGTGGCCGGCGCGGGAGAAGGCGACGGCGGCGAGGACGAGGAGCGCCGCCGCGGCGGAGAGGTAGGCCTGCGCGGAGGGCGGGCGCTGGATCAGCCCCCGGCGGTGCGCCGCCGCCGTCGCCGCCGGCCGCGGGGACGACGCCATTGGCGGCGGTTAGAGATGGAGAGCGCCACGTGTGCTTCGCCCTCACTGACTTCCCCTTCGTTCCGCGGCTCCGTTCGGCTAGTAGTACGTGTCTACGTGACGCGCGGCGTTAGCGAAGGCGAGCGGCGCGCGCGCCTCCCAACGAACGGCGAATTGGTCGCACACGGGACGGGGACATCTACCGGGATAACTACAGACTACAGTTGGATTTGTAGTTGTTTTACTAGTGTACGTACATCAATATTTGCGAGATCAAAATATTTTGCGATCGGTTTGAATGTCACAAGTTTAGCAGGTACAGCAGATCGTTTTAATCGATCATACTACATGCATGCAGACTAATATGCTGAGTTGGCACTTGGCAGAGAAATAAGGGGGAGAGAGTGTGAATCGGTGATTAATAGTTGCCTACTACACTTCCATGTTGAGGCGATAATAGTAACAACGGATTGTTCCTTACTGTCCCATATAATTATGGAGTCTACAAAATTAGCAAAGTGTGAAGAAAAAAATAACAGTTATAGGCATAACATTAAAAAAAAGACTTTGGTAATTGCGTGATGGCAAGCTTGTAGACTTTTGTTGTACATGATATCTGTTTGGTGGAGCAGCACTCTATGTGTTTGATAGGTTTTAGAGCTGACGGCTTACTCTTCTATTGAAATTGCTCTTAGGCCAATTTCAATGGTGGTTAATGTAACAAAAAATTTCTAGTGGTAGTTTTATAGAGTTTTTTCTCAATAAATGAGATGCCATTCAAACAAATTTGATGACATGGCAATATCATTATGAAGAGAGATTAAAAGAGTTTCATATATATGGAACTGGATGTACACTGTTTCTAAGACTATAAAACTATTTGAAACTGGCATTGAGGAGCTCGAGTATTCCATTTCATCCAACTGCATTCAATCCCATGCATTATTATTAAATGTTATGACTAACCTAAAAAGCCACAAAATGAAATTGTACACTGAAGGTTTTATTTCATTTATCGATTCAAAACTCTTTTGACGACATAACAATATTGGTAACCGTGAAATGAAACTTTTTGCTAAGAATGGACTTATACGATTTGTTATTAATACTTTTTGTAATTTGTAAAAGATGTGCCCATTGTTGTATTAAGAAGATGTTAGTACAAATTTTAAGTGTTGTCTACTATTTTATGGAACATGTAGGTTTTATCCACAATGATAATGTTTTAAACCTAATACGTAAAAGATGTGTATATTATTTTACTAAGATGTCTCTACAAACTTTAAGTAATGTCTATTATTTATCGAACATGTAAAATTTACCCGTAAAGATGGTGTTTTACACCTGAAATTTCATATGTCACATTATCATAGACGAAGTTAGATCACAAGATGCATTCGCTATACCTCTAAGAATCAGAGACATTGTTTCCTTTTTCTCATTGCATCCTCGGGTAAATCTGTTGAGTTATTTCTTTTCTTCACACCTAATTATGTATGTGGCAGGTGTTTTTTTTCTCTCGATTATCACACACACCTTACCTTACTAAAATCCTCCTGTTGAAAACCAACTTATATGTGTATAATATTTGTGAACACCAGAATTTAAAGAATGATGGATAGAATCATGAACCTATGGCTCTACCATCACCCCACTGGTGCTCTCTCTACATAAATGGTAGGTTATTTTCAATTACATGGAAATGCACACACCACCACATGTACCCACCTACCAATACACTTGTCGGAGTACGGAACTCCTCTAGCGGGGAAGCTAGGCACTCCCTCTATGTGAGTTTGGCTGGGGGAGCAAGTTTTGAGCTTGGGTCCTGATTATGCAAAGGGAATGGACACAAAGCGAGTATACATGTTCGAACCGCACATATACGTAATACCCTACTCTTGTATGGTGGACATGGATGATGAAGATAATTATAAGTAAGATGTGAAAAGTTCGGCTGTGTTCGGGAGTAAGGGTTGGGAACCCTCACTCCCCGGCACGGAAAACGGAGCAGCGATTAGCACGTGATTAATTAAGTATTTGCTAATTTTTTTTCAAAAATAGATTAATATGATTTTTTTAAGCAACTTTCCTATAGAAACTTTTTATAAAAAACGCACCGTTTAGCAGTTTGAAAAACGTGCGCGCGGAAAACGAGGAGAAGGAGTTGGGAAAATGTTCTACCGAACGCAGCCTAAGTGAGGAGGAGAAGATCCTTTCTCACCCAATGTTTGGCTAACCTAGATTAGATGAGTGTACGAGCCCTTTTATCGGTGGCATGGATCCTCCTTTTATACGTGAGGGGGGGGGGGTCGTCAATGCCGATGCATGCATGTAGGAGTGGCGCCCACTCCACTAAACTTGATATGTTTAGCCTTGTCGCTATCCCTCCAAGCTAGTTGGCCAGATGTGACAATCACACCTATAGACTAACAAGTGGATTAGATAGGCAAAAGTCTTCGTTCCAATTGTCCCTATGTCTATCTATGCTCACTTCTACACCTTGAAGATGTAGATCTCATAGGTCTGTATACTCTTATTGATACCTTGAAACTATAGATCTTTTGAGTCTCATACTCTTCTTGACACTTTGAAGATGTAGATCTTGTAGGTCTTAGTATGAGCCACAACGCCCCGAGGGGAACCCCTGTTCCCACTTCTCCGATAACACTCAATAGGGATGTCACTTGCAAAACTTCATAGTGGAAATACACTGCATTTCTAACATCACAGGCACCTTCTTATATCCTTATTCAGTCCCGAAATTAGTGAATCACTGATATCCCGGGAAACTTTAGTGTGTGTGAGGAAAAAAGACCAAAACCCCTTATTAATAGAAAACTAGTACATTAAAAAGGGGTGATTTGTGGAGAACCTAGGTAAGAAAGTAGAAATAAACTTATCTTGAGACAAAGTTTCAACTCTAAAAATTAACTTATTTTATGACGGAGGAAGGTTCAATCACGATGAGCCAAATCTTAATTACACGTGGAACTGACACAGGCAGCCTGTATGAAAAGTGAAAGCACAAGGGGAAATCCATGCGCATGTCAACGCGGGACAAAGTTGGATCCAGGCAAATATTTTCAAAGATAATCAGTAACATTGATCAATCTAGAGTTACACTGTTCAGCACTCTCACCCAGTGCAGTCATGAAAACCGCCACGGCTTTATGTAAGAGATGCGAAATACTATGGTCTTGGTGCTAGGCTGCTAGCTTCATCAGGCGTGCAGCGAACGCTTGGTCCAAAGTTCAGAACCGACGCCCACGACAGCATTCGTGGGAGCATCAAAGCAATCTCATATGAATCTGTACGTGCCTCCATCAATAGCTTTCAAAATGAGATCAAAACCGAATTATTTACATTCCTAGGAGTACCGAATGCTACAGAGTTTTACAATATCTTTCTAGTCTTTAGGTATGAGTACATGATGAAAAATCCAGCCACTGCTCCAACTACTATTCCACCAGTTGTCGCCCAAAATGCCCACTGCTCCAAAATAAACTCGTCATCAACTCATGCTATATCAAGTAGTGCCAGTACGTGGCAGAAAGCAGAATTGAACTCAAGAGTGCAATGCTATACCGCGTTTGTCTCGAGGTACGATTTAAGGTTCATGCCAAATATTCCTACAGGAAACAAATACAACGGTTCAATTATAGCATTACTTCAAGAATAAAGAGTGATAGAAAGGAACTGAAATTTGAAAATCACTAGATACAAAAGCGCTGACAGATTTTTGTACCTGCAATTAATGCTCCTATGGCGACGCAGAATGTTCCAACCTGAAGAAGCAACTCAACTCTGCTTACTTCAAGTCTCCGGGAGCTGTAAGGATGCCCAATGTGGTAAGAATTAAGAAAACCCATAATTTATGAAATGTTTGTGATGTTGAGCTAGTTCACATAAATTTCACATCCGCCAAAAAGAACAAGATCCCACAATTCTCAAATAGTTTATTGTGATTGTATGCTACACAAACAGAGGTGCAGGAACACACCACCTTATACCAAGACCCACTCTCATAATTTCATCTTAAATCAGTTCTAAAAAAATAAAATTATGGGAATGCAATTTGAAGCACTCAAGCAGTCCCCCTTTCTTTTATCTGGTTATGCTTTGATAATTGAAACCTGAAACATAATGCTGGCATTTTATGTTGCAAAGTACACACCGCCATGGCCTGTGGACACCCGCACACCACAGAGAGTAAAGGATGGAGGATAATGAAGTCATGCCCCCAAGGCCCCAACCCACAAAAGAACATTTGCAAAATTTTGAGACTAGTACTATGTACGTATCCGGTACATAATTGGTGCGTCCTCCATTTCCAAGTAATTCTTGCATTTGCTTTCTTAATTTCATCTATGTTGGAGACTTGGAGTGTATTGTTTGCTCTTAATTGGTATTTTCTCGCTAGTCGCCACAATATAGCTATAAAATTTAAGAATCTGAAATGTCCATTTGTAGTGATGCTAATTGTAGTTTGGTTGTACTGCAAATATGTGAAAGATCATTTTACAGTTATCTGATGGATATAAATTCTATTTCCATATTGGAGAACGTGTTTCTCTTTCTTTTTGCTGAAAAGCTACCATGCTACATGATCTTCTAGATGCACGCAGCCTAGCTTTATGATAAGTACAGTTGGACTCAGTCGCTTGGATGAAGGGTTCACAAAGAAATAGTAGCTGCTAGAAACAGTTTAGAGGCAGCAAATAAAATGCGATGTCTGTTTAGATGCAGGGCTTGCAAATCAAAGACCATTTTAGTCCAAGTTGGAGTGACTTCAGGGTGTTAAACAAATTATGGACCATGCACATGATTTGGAATATAAATGTAGAGAGAAGAGTAGAAAACAATGGTTGATTGTCTGGTTGAACTAGTAATTTATGTTCGGTTGTCACCTTAGATCGTTTATTAAATTCAAAATATAGTTTTTATTAAAATTCATACATTTACACATATATTTTTACTGTCCAATTATATTCAAGAGCAAAAAAATCACAAAAGTGAGCATTGTTATAAATTATAAGAACACATGCATTGATGAAGCTAAACTTTGTGAGATCATGTGGTCTGTGAGAGTAGACAGACCTTAAGTTGACCGCAATTGAATCTTCCATTTCTCTTGCAGAATCAAGAAGTCTCTCTGCTTGACCATGGATTGATTCACATCTGACAGTAAGAATACACAATGAAGGTCTGCAAGAAAGAAACAAGACATCTGAAAAGATTGTATTGCAGATGAATACCTTTGAAGATAATTTTCCAACAACATTTCAATTTCTTCCTCTTCTTCTGTTAAAACAAAAAAAATACAGATGAAACAAGTAAAACAGAATCAAACAGTTAACTACTGACAAATAAGTGATTGCAACACTCCTTGTGAATTCCGCACATGCCATGCTTGGAAACAAAAAAAAATCCATGAAGGCAGTAATATGTCTCCAAAATATAAAAAGTCCAATGATGCTCTCAATCCATACCTTCAGCAATCTGCTTCTCTAAAGGAACGGAGCACTCCATGTTATCACTTAATTTGTCGAGCGTGCAATTTCTTCCCATTATGCATATTCGACGGATTTCATGAGGATCATCTAGGAGATCAATAAGCATTTGTTTGAGATCACCTGCTCGTGAACCCAGCTCAACCTTGACACATGAATAGAGACAAAATTAAACTTGACAAACAAGTCCAGGAAATGATTCTAAAGCGCAGCTTTAATACCAATGCTTGTTTGCTTAGACGAAGCTGCTCCAACACATCAGCTGTCAACCGATTTGGTAGAACTTCAAGCAAAGCACCCACCTGAGATATAAGCCCAGATACCCAAATTATTATTTTTTCCATTATAAATAGAGTCAATTTGAACACTGGCATGTTCTTGATCCATACATGACTGAAACACAAACACAAGAATACGACAACACCTAAAATACCACATGAAAATGCAGGGTCAGCTTGGTAGGGCTCTTTCCGACTGTTTCCCATTTTTTTTAAAAAAGAAGGAATTCTGCAGTGATCATGTGGCACGGACACATGGTACTGGTCTATGTCTTGTCTGTGATTTACAAGGGACTTCAAGAAGATCCTTACTCCCTAGTGTTAAACTTAGTAAGTGCTCAGCAAAAAGCTAGGTATTGACAGTAGCTTATGATTTGTGCAGTTGACTTGTGTGAAGATCAGGTGCTTCAATTAGTCCATTTGGTAAAGATGTATAAAAATATAGAGGAAGGCGTGCAAATCTGCAGTCAGGGACTTCTAAATGCCAAAGGAAAGAGTTAGGGTGCAGGATATGGAAATAACATGCATTATTATTGGTTCAGTTCTGTATATATGTGCTTTGAATGAAGTTTTCAAGGTTGAAATCAAGAAAATAGAGGACAGGAACAGGAATTCGTAAGTGTCTTAAGTCACCTATTGACAATATATCAGATTGCTCCATAAATTGAATATGCACCAGAAAGTAGAACTAACAACATCAGGATATACAATCTTGTACAAGATGTAGAGCTAGCAGGGACTTTTCTGGCACTCACACGAGGCTCGATACGCATTAGCCTTCGCTCCAACCTTTGTATTCTAGAAAGCAGGGCAGCTTCGACAACCTGAATATAAGAGAAGGCAATAAATAACCAGATCATCTTGGCCCAGTATTTGGCAGGAGGATGGTACTCTCAATAATCGGGTGAAAATGCAAGCATAGCATGACATGTTGGCAAATGCATGATGGCGATAAAAATGTTTTTTGTCAGCAATATATGTTAAATGATTTAATATAATAACTAATGAGACCAAAAAAGATATTGTACAATCAAAAAGAACTTTTAAAATCAAAGATGATAATCCTATTCTTGTTCAAGATTCCATTCGACCGTTAAGAGAAACTAGGAAAACTCATGGATGACAATCTTATTCCTATGTGAGTTGAAAACAAAGTAAACCTTCCATGGAGGCAAATATAAATGAAACAATTGACAAGGAAAATATCATCATATTAAGACTGTTCCAGACCACAAATATGGATTAATATAAGAATATCCATATGCCTGATACCTCAAGTTGAAATGGCATTGCTGGTCCACCATTGATATTTCTTGGATTTAACCGTGGCAGTAATGAATCTAAGAAGGCCTTTCCTCCTGGGCTACTCAAGTCAGATAAAATAATTGATAAGTTTCATAACAATAGTGATGTTCACCAAGTAAAATACAATTTATATTAAAATGACTAGTGTACAAACTGACCTGTTGTAATTGAATATAAGAACGCGTTCATGCATAGCAATTGCTCGCAAGGAACCAAGATTTACTAATATGGCTTGTTCACGGACCTATATGAAATGGTACATAGAAGCAATATGTTGAACTGTGAAGCAGGTTGATAAGGCAAAAAATTAACTTCTACATAAATCTAGAATCTAGTAACCATGCAAACATAGAGTTCAAATATATTGATATGGAAGTTTACATGAAAAGCTATACACAAATATTCTATGTATGTTATCAGTTCATAGTAATGAACAGTGGTTGTCAAGATTACAATCACAATGCAGGTTACTGAAAAAGACAGCTAAACGAAATGTGAGCTGGAAAATATTGCAGAATTAAAACCTTTTTCTTTACTTCTATCTTTGAATAAAAAAAATTGAACTCTGACTCTGTGATTGACTATAATAACATAGGTAATTTTGACAGGCAACCTGAGATACTTGTAACAGAGCAATTGTACTATCTTCAGACTCTTGTACATACACAATTATTAGCATCACTCATTCCATTGTTTGTGTAACTGAAAATTGTAGGAAAAGATGGGAAACATATACAGAGTAAAGTCTACATGATTAATTATTGAAAGTATCTTATTACCAGCAAGGATGGCATTGAATTCATTAGCCATAGCGATGGGTCAACGCTTCTGGTATCTCGTAGGCGGAGGCCTATAAGAAAAGGTCGGTGATCAACATAAATACTGTCAATGAGCTTGACATTCACAAGAATGAACAAAACCACAAGAAATGGCAGCATTTTCAAATTCTAAAACTGTTACCAGTAAATTATCAAGCACTATATGAGAGTTTGGTACAGACTACATAATCATGTTTTTTACAGTCCTTGAGAAACATATTCTTTCTACCTACCACTTGATTTCAATAGCTGCCTCCGGCTTATTTTTTTGGTAGACATCCTCCCATTAGATTTTACTTCTATCACCTGAGTAAAATTTGATATCCGGGAAAGTTAATTTGCATCTTGCAATTTGCAGAAGTCCCAGAATATGTAACAGGCATTTCATTCCAAAGCAAACCTACCCTTACAGAAACATGCATCAAATTAGCATGACAATTGCAGATTTATTTTAGATAAGGGAGATGATTACATCCCCAGCCTCTGCATCTAGGATGCACACGGCCATTTGAGTTTGCAAAGAAAATGATCTCAACGAGGGACATAACTCCCCATGACTTGAAAAAAAGAGAGAGCAAAATCTGAACCTAGAGAAAGATTTATTATGCATGAAGCCTACTGGTAGCCCTCCATCCAAAGTTACACGTTTGGATTAACGGCATATAATGTATTGTTTATTTACGTTTGGACACTCACAATGATCATATTGCAATATTTCCATTTGGCTTGTTGAGTGGACTTAAGACCTTGAGAACATGAGCTATTGCAATCCATAATTCTGACTAGGAACAGAAGTTAGCTGATGCACGACCTTGCAACCTTATCCGAATCGCTTATTAGCAAATAAAAAATCATTTGTGAGTAAAGCTTTTATATACGTATCCTTAGTGACTAAAAAAACAAATGCGGCGAATAATCTACAATGAAAAAAAATCAAATTCAAAATTAAGTTCTAAAATTTAAATTTTGACTTATATGATCATAAGAATGAGTCCCTTGCTGTCTCCAATTTACCATTAACCATTACAAGGCGTTCGATCGCCGATCGGTTACCTCGTAGACGGGCTCCCTGATGCCGAGCGAGATGTAGTCGGCGGAGAATCGCCCCGACCCCGATCCCCTCGCTGCGGCCTCCCTTGACCCATCGTCCCCTGGCTTGTCCTCCTCCCTCCTCACCTCCACCTCCCCCTCCTCCTCCACCGCCGCCGCCGCCGCCTCCTCCTCCTCATCCTTGGTCACGGCCCGCCCATCCTTCCCCTCCGCCGCCCGCAGCGCGGGCAGCGGCGGCAGCAGGAGGAGGCCCCCCGCTCCGCCCCGCCCTGCCGCGGAGAGCCCCAGCGACGTAGCTACGGCATTCCCCCTCCCCTGCGACTGCGAGCCGCGGTACCGGAGGCACGCGCCGCCGTGCCCGTGCTGGTGCGGCGGCTGGTGGAGGAGGAGGAGGACGGCGGCCTGCGACGAGTACGACGGGGACGACGAAACGGACGCCATGGGCGCGGGCTCCGCGGGGGCATCCACGCGCGGCGGCGGCGGCGACGCCGGCGGCGAGGTCCACGTGGCAGCTAGCTGCCGCGGCGCTTCTCCTGTTCCTCGCTTGTTTTTTTTTTCTATTTTTTCTTTTTTTTTTTTTGGGATCTCGCGCTTCTCGCCTCGAAGTTGAAGGCGACGACGGCGAGGCGAGAAGGAAGAAGCGGCAAGGGAAAATGCTATCCAGTAGATGAGCTGGTGGCTGAGCGGGCTCGCGCGGGCGGGGGCGATCTGGGCCGTCCGATCGCGGATCGGACGGGGGCGGATGCTCCGGTGGGATGACGTTTGTCCGTTACTTCTGGCTGGTGGGGCCCAGTTCTATTCATGGTGGGGTGGGCTGCCAGCTGTTCCTCTGTTTCGTCGTCTTCTCCAGCCCGGAATATGAAGGTACTGGAGATCAGAGGACCCATGTGGGTCCCACTGGCAGTGTCCACCGGCATGGATTAGATATGATCTGGCTACTACTATACCGTCGTTTGAGTTATTGAGTACTCCGTAGCGTCGACGTCGTATAGCGACGGCGGAGGGTCGCTATATTTAGCCCCGTCCCGTCTCGGCTTGTTTGTTTGGTTCATGCTATTTTCAGCCTTGCCGGATTTTTTTGGGAAGGACAAAAATTGGTTTTTGCTAAAATTTTCGAGAATGATTGCCATCGGGTGATCGGGCGGGGGAGCAGAACTCGGGCACCCCCCCCCACCCCATGCACGCGCGCTCTTCCCTGGTCCACCACGTGTCCACACACACAACCCTATTACAACAAATTACCCACATATTTTAAAAACCCTTTGTTAAGAGAATTTGGTTTATTTGTTGTTCCACCGAAAATGTTTCATCTACTACACTCATAATGATTCACTATCTATAGATCTAATGTTGCAGTGAATTGAAATACTCCATTGCAACAAATCATCCATATATTTTGGAAACCCTCGGAATTCGTTTCTTTTTTTTCCACCAAAAAAATGTTTCACTTAGTGTACTTATAATGTTTCACTATGTACGGTTCTAATGTTGCAGTGAATTGAAACTTTTTTTTCGTTATTTGCTGAAACATTGTTTTTATATAAGGTGAAACAACACCCGATTCTAACGATTGAAATATTTCCGTTCTACTTAGTGAAACAATTCCGATATAACTGGTGGAACATCGTGCAACATTTTAAAAAAAGTCAATAATAAGCTAAAAAAATTTCGTCGAAATATATCCATGTGTGGTCTTGTTTTGAATATTTAATTACAACGAATTTAATGGTGCAATCGGATCATGATTTGGATAAATAATTTAAGAGAAAAAAAATTTTAGAAGAGAAAAAAATTAGTTTAAAGTGGTTTTACACATATGGGTAGCACTGACGTCAGCGCCCGATTTTTGGAGATTTGGATCGGACGACCGATCCCTAGTCACCTCCTCAAATTTTTGGCGAAAAATAGCTATGATTTGTCTGGTCTGCTTACCAACTTTAAGAAGTTATACTCCCTCTGGATATAATTAATTGACATTTAGGACAACCAAATATCCAAATTACAAAGAAAATGAAAATGCTCCCGATGCCGAGTAGTTCAACTCAATGAGCGGTAATTTCTGGAAAATCCCTTTGAACTGAAATTACAAAGAAAATAAGCCAGGACTTTTCTCTAAAACCATGAATATAACTGGCCGGAGGTAGTATTTTGATATTCAAGTAAGCCAAATAATTTGGCAATGCCAATTTTGTTGGCTACAAAGCAACCAGGTGAGACAAATGCTAAAGCGAACCCTACTTACTATTCAGGTATACGCCATAAAAAAGTTTGCAGATTTCTTTCATGTTATCAATGGCACAAAAAGGATTTCTGAGTGCATCTGAGAATTCATTCTCTTTTACCAACATGAAAGGTTAGTATTACTCTGGACAAGTTTCTTTGGGATAAAAGTTTACGTCTCCCAAATAAACCCATCCACGACATGAACGACCACAATGTGAGATGCTCGAAGGAGTACATATTAGCCCTAACAAAAACTACCCGTTAAAAATAGGCACTGGACAAGTGTTAGGAAGGGCTACAGCCTACAGGCCTACAGCCAAACGAAGCATCTGAGCACTGGAGAGAACAAGAGGTCAGGGACACTAGCGCTTCATCAGTGGGCTAGCAGCCGAGAACTGCAAGTAAAAGAAGTTGAAGGCCTCAACTACTTCCATGTACCACATTGATTCACGGTCGGGCTGCGCGGAAAGATCGACTAGCTTATGCACCTGCAACAATCAAGTTCAAAGTCGTTAAAAGCAAGATGCTGATAAGAGTCCTCAGGAAAACTAATGCAGTGGGTAATGTTTAAGTGCTTGTACGTCTTAAGGCTGAAGCCCAACAACAGAACTTAGTTTCTAGTTCTTTTTTGAGAATTGAAAGTGACAACTACAGTAATCTGCCTAGATATGTTTTGCCAATGCCTAAATCTAACCCAAGCAAAAGTGTACTAGATTAAAAGTATGAACAACAAAAATGAGCCACCATCTTATCCTTGTCTTTTCATGTCACCAAAATAGAAGAGAGCGTGGTTGATACTTAATACATGCAAGAACAAGCCTTCCACATGATTTCAGTAGCTATTGCAAGCCTGTCACATAATCAGGAAATACATGGTTCAGCAAAGATGACCATTGCAAGGGGATTACAGATTGCAACTTGTCAGTAACCCGTCACTCTGCTGCAACCCTGCAACTGTTGTTACCACCATGCTGATTGGTCAATGTCAAAGTTACTAGTTGTTTCTACTATGGTCATTTCCCTCAAATTTAGGTTGGCTCAAGAATAATGTTATGTAAAATTGACAGCTGAGTAGAAAGTTCTTCAAATCTCCAGATCTAACACCCACTTTTGCAGACTAATGTTGGCCAAAATTCAGAAAAATTATCTCGAATGTAATCAACCAATAAAGCTCCAAATGCAGTACATAGTAGTATTAGTAATCCCTTGTTCTTTCAACAAATGTGTTCAGAATGTCAGGTTATGTTTCATATCACTAACTAAACCGAATGGAGCTTTCTAAAAGAAATCATGTATTCATGGTTTCAAGCTTTTCAGCTACGGTTATCACTTGAACACAAACAGCAACCAGAAAGGCATGAACCAAAGATTTGCATTAAGACTCCTTTACCTATTAAATTGTCTCTTCAATTATAATGAATACATCATGAAGATGGCAATTGCCTACAAATTGAACACAGGGTGTTGGGAACAAAATAGAACTGTTGGATACGCGAAGTTGAGCAAACTAACAATCGAAAGAGATATGATAATTGCATTTGCTTATAGAGAACTGACAGAGTAATAGATAATGGAAAAATTACACTTCAAATAAGATTTTGATATATAAATGGCTCCTACAATCTGATATGGACAGATAACAAGCACAATGATACAATATGTAACCACTTTGTTTCTGTAATAGTAATACGAAGTTGAAGTAATATGATCCCGGATGAATCAAGGGTCTTCTTCTCATCAGTATCACCAAATTTAGGTTAATTAACTCTAATTTGGCACTAATTATCAATATGCTCGTGTGATTAGACACGGATCTTGCTCTTCAACTCGTTCTTACTCCTAACGCTATAGAATCTAGAGATTGAAGGCTCCAGAAAGTGAGATCACTAGGATGGATTAGTATTTATTTTACAAGCTAAATCTAGGAGTCTAGTTCTCTTTTCCTTTCTTTTAAATCATTTGACCAAGCAAGGTTTAAACTGCAAATGTTGGCGATGTTCAAACTTTGAAATAACTATATGGACAGAAAAAACAAAATAAATATACTGTATAGAAAGAAATATGCATGTGAAAACCGAGAAGGTAGGGACACACAAAGAATGAGGGAAGTAACCTTAATCACTGGCCGATTGGCCCGAGGAAGAGATTCCTTTCCACTATATGACCCAAGAACCATCACATACATGCCTACAGAATAAAATAGGGCATCAACTAGAGCAAATGAATCAGGATCCAGGAAAAGTACCAAAATGGCTATAGGTCTACAGCACAAACAGAGTAAAAGGCTAAAAGCTGCGCAAAAGATTAAGTAGCACTCCACTCCACTTTGCCAGCAAATTCGGCATGCCAATTGGATGGTACCATAGCACCACATGGCAGATGAGAAATCAAGCATGAAGCGCAAAACTATTTTGAACAATATGCTTGTAAACCAATAGCATTCTCGTAAATAACACATGTTACCATCTAAGGACAAACATGCCCTGACAATAAGTTAGGTTTTGATAGCCACCCTAATGGCGAACTAGTGATTATTAGGATAGTGTATGGTTCCAGAGTTGATGGAAATCTCAATCCGTCCCGCCATGAATCACATGATACAACTAATATGATTAATCCACAACTGCACAACTATATGTGCATTTTGACGATTTTCCAACAAAAAAAAAGGGGACGCCACGAGCAAAGAAACAAACCTTCTCGCCATGGCTGCCCCTCGGCCTCCTTCGGTGTGAGCGTGATCTCGGCGACGCAGGAGCCGTCATCCACAAGAATGTGCCCGGCGCCGTCGCGGTAGTCCGCCAGCACCACCACGCCCTGCCTGCCGCCACAAGTCGTCAGGGAGAGATGGAGCTAGGAGATGGGGGGAATAGGGAATGGTGGGGAGGCGACCTGGAGCCAGACGCGCTGGAAGCGGATGCCGTAGAGCATCTGGGCCTGCGAGGTGCCGTCCGACTCCGAGGGAGGGGCCTCGGTGGCGCCGGCCAGCTGGCAACCGAAGAGCTTCAGCGCCGCGAGGGTGTAGTCCATGTTGTTCCGCTTCGGCGCCGCCGCCGCCGCCGCCGCGCCGCCGACAGGTTGAGCACCGGAACCCTCCATTGCGGCGCCCTCTCTCTCCGGTGCTCTCTCGGGTCTCAACTCTCAACAAACAGTTCAACTACACTGATCGCAGATGGGCCGTGTACCTGGGCCTAATTAGGCGAGGGCCACTACATGATGCTATACCTTTCGAAGACAATAAACACAAGTGTATATCATAGCATACAGGTAGACCAATCGTCTTGTTTAAGAGGGCAGCTACAAAATAGCATCCCGTTACAACGGGATAGACATGCTAACTATTCTCTTACACGAGTATTACATGTATCAGGTTCTAGGTATTATAGGTATATCATAGGTATCGGGTACCATATAGCTGGTACCACAGCATGCATCAAGTATCAGGTACCGTCTCATAGAAAGGTATCCCGTTTCAACGGGATACCGTTGTCTAGGTTTTCTACTTATTTAAAAAAACAACTAAGCGAGATATTGAGGTGTGATTTTATTAGAATGCTAAATTTGGTAGTAAAATGAGCATATAAACAATAGACAATTGGATAATGGTTTTACCGTTGTAGTTAGACTTGTCCAGGCTTCACAAAATTTCTAGCTCCACTATTGCTCATATATACCATACACGATACTATAGGTACCATGTTGATGTCATAAATTGTACCGACATGATACACATGTCCGATACTAGATCTGGTATCTTACGATATCATGCTACTATCATTTTAGCATTAACTGTTACGTTAGAACGGTATACCGTTTTGTAATATGTAGATGTAGTACATACATAATTAACTGTTACATTTGTATGGGCCTAATTAGACCCAGTGTGATCTATCAGAAGGCCCGGCCCGGTTACAAGCCCGAGCATTTCTTGCTTGCGAGTGGAGTTGAACGGACCGCACCGGCGTCAGCTCACGAGGCAGGAAAGAAACCCCAAACCCGCGTCGCCGACGCCGTCGCCGGCACACTCGCCTTCGCCTCGCCCACCACCAAACCACCTCCGATGGCGCCCGGCTCCTCCTCCACCTCCTCCCCGGGAGGAAAAGCCGCCGCGGTGGGCGGCGAGGCGGGGAAGGAGGGCGGAGCCGTGCCCTCGCCCGCGGCAGCTGCCTCCGACCACGCTCCGGTGGCGCCCGACGGCTCGCCGGGAGGTGGCGCGCTGCCGGCGGGCGGCGAAGCGGGGAAGGAGGACGAGGGCGTCGCCTCGACCGGCTCCCGCACTCCGCTGGCCCCTGGCTCCTCCTCGGGAGAAGGCGCGCTCGGGGAATGCGGCGAGGCGAGGAACGACGACGAAGCGCCAGCGCCAGCGCCACGGCTCATCGCCTCGCCCACCGCCGCCGCCGCCGCCGCCGCCACCACTGACTACCCACATGAAGGCGGCGAGGCGGAGCAGGAGGGCGGCAACGCGTCATCACCATGTGAAGAGCAGGAAGAGGATGACGACGACGACGAGGAGGAGGAGGCCCCGACGCATCTCCCCTTCGCACCCTCGTCGGAATCGGAGGTACGTGCGTTTGCCCCCTCAGTTCTTGCGGTTCATCCCCTTTGTCTCTCTTACCCGTCTCTCCAACCCATTTTGCGCTGCATTGCTTTCACACTCTCGCCCTCGTGGGCATTTCGTCAAGCACCTGGTGGCGGGTGGTGCTTCGTTACTGTCATTTAACTCGTGGGCATTTCGTCAAGCACTTGGTGTGCTTCCTTACTGTCCTTTAACTCGTGGGCATTACTGTCATCTAAGTGTCCCCAATGTCATTCAAGTGCTTTCACGGAGCGTATGTACCATTTACAGTTGAAAACTTATATATCATCTTTGCATGCTCAAAATTCTCGTAATCAAGTGTTCCATGCGAATGTGAAGGTTTAATCCACAATTCCGCATGGTTCTAGATAATTTTTAGTGAGATTTCTGTGTGTTGCGAGCTTCTGCTTTAGCTGACAGTTGACTTATTAGAAATGACTTCTGGATATTTTCAATCGGTGTTCCATTGCTTTATTGATGTTTTCTCTCCTGCTTGTAATTATATGCAGTTACCTGATGATAAGTCAACAGTTGATCCCAGCTTCACCATCTCTCTCATAAGGAAGCTGGTACCTCAGGGACCAGATGTGGATAAAGAGTTAAGGTGCAATTTACTTCCAGAGATTTTATTTTCAGTTAGAGTTCTCTAAAAGTGAAAGCCGTGTGCTAGATTTTCATGCTGATTTTGTTATCAGCTGCTAACCTCTGATACCATGTAAACAGTGTGAAGCAGGGACGAACAGAAGAAAAGGATGCTAGTTCTGATGTTGGGGAACCAAAACAGCCTCATGACAAAGATCTGTGGGACAATGAAGGTTGCAAACTGTGGGACCTTTCAGTTATTGAACCTCAGGCAGAACTTATGGTACTTATCTCTATACTTGATAGTTGATATCATGTCATAGTTGATAACTGTGCATTGAATTTAAGTTCTACGATGAGATATTCTGCATAATTATTGATTATGATTGTGAAATTTTCGGCATGCCTCTATCCCAATAGCATGCCAGCATCAATCAACATTTGAACAGGAAGATTAGTATCTTCTACTAGGAGTCGATTCTTATCTATTAAAATATATTATTTACAAGAAAGCTTTTCATGATCTGCGGGCATGTACTATTTGTAAAAGATTGTGCTACTGCAATAGAAGGTGAATCATCAATTGAGTTCTAAGATTCACTGAAACTACTGCTTGCACCATCATCGAATTTTTGTACTGTTGTATTGTAAGTCTTTAAGTGCATTGACTGCTTGCGGGAAGCGCTAACTGTGCGGATCTTTAATTCTTGTAGGTTAACAACCTTGTACTTGAAGTACTTTTGGCAAACCTTCATGTGAGACAATTTCTTCGAGCAAAGGTGAAGTGGAATATCCTTCTACTACTGCCTCCACGTTTTTGCTAGCAAATATTTTAATAAGTCTTGCTTCTCTGAATTTTGTTCTCCACAGGAAATCTGTATTGGGATCATAGGAAACTTAGCTTGTCATAAATCTCTGGCCAATGCAATCACTTCTCATAATGGATTAATTGCTACTGTCGTGGATCAGTTATTTCTTGATGACCCTGGTTGCCTTACTGAAACATTCAGGTTGGTATTCATGGAATATGGTGAATGTGCGCGTAATTATGTAGTGGAAACCTGGAAACCACCACATAAAAGTTTCCAAAAGTTTTTTAAAAAAATCTCACCAACGAAGTTTGATATTAAAATTGTGTGTGGTTTTCTAATATCATCTTTACTATATGTAACATTTTTCTTGAAATTTTTTGGAAACTTTTACGGGGTGGTTTCCACTACATATTTACCTATGATGCACGGCTTGTGCTAATTAAGACTATCTACATAGCACTTTCTTGTTTGCTCTGACAAGATTAAAAACAATAAGCACGCTATTGTCCCTTTGACTCCTTTAGCAAATTGTAAATTATTGAACCTGTAACAATATGTTTTTAGCAATACAAGTTCTTTTATCACCTGAAATTAAGCATTTATCATGTGGAAATGAATCAGGCATCTTACTATAATTTATGCTTACAACATATGTTACATGCAGACAGATAGTCATACATTACACATATACAGCATCACTATTTAGTGGATTGTGGATTAAAATGCTTGAATATACAGCTGTTCTTAAGAAAAAAAAGTAAAATGTAACTTCTTTTAGCACTTGTAAGTACTCCTTATTATGATTCCTTATTATGCATCTCCTTTTCTTCATACACATTCATGTTATCTTTCTACTTTTTTTTTCCTTTTCTATTTTTGTATATAGACTATCATGACAACCCGAGTTCTGTTCTGAAGTTTACTAGTTGTGCAGTCATAGTCACACAGTCTATTTGTATACAGGTTATTGAGCACCATTTTTCAGAGCAACGCATCTATGTCATGGGCTGAAGCTCTCTTACCTGATGAGATTCTTTCACGTATTATGTGGATAATTGGAAACACAGTGCATGCTACCTTACTTCAGAAGGTGAAGTACTTGTCTATCCAGTCAACTAGATCCTAATAGGTTGATAACTTGTATTGACCTTAGCTTGATGTTGAACATTTTAGGATGATTTATCTATTTGACATTCTATGTAATAATTGCTACTTTTATTCTTTTACAAATGATAGTTAGTTAGATGTGTTTGCATAATTTGTTCTTTTTCAGTTGATCTTATTATGATTCAGTGTTAGAAGGGCGTTATGTAAATCATTTCTGTTGATTGTTACATGTATGGCCACTATCAATGTAATGACCAGACCTCTTAATCCATTGTAATGTGTCCAGGACATCCAAACAACTTCTTGATTGCCCTTCTGTTAGGAGTTCTTATTTATTTCATCATTATTGGCAACTTTGATCTTACCTGCAGTTGTTTCTCATGTTTCCCATGAGGCCATGAGTCTGCAGACACTGAAGATATAATTGCAAACTAGTTTTGACCATTTATGGCCTATGAACTATTTTGGAATTCATCCAAAAAGCTGTGCACTTAGATATTTGATTTAGTATAACTTAATATATTTGATTTAGATATTTAATATAGTTATATGGTGAAATTGTGGTACGGCTGAAATCATCTGGCCAACTGACTTATGGCATTATCTTTTGAATCCTGTACATGTTCAAAATTTGTGACTATTTCCTTTGTAAATTATTGGGTGCAGATACTGGAGTTTCTATCAGCTCTTGTTGATGATCAAGATGTCATTACCATTCTTATCGAGCCCTTGATAAAAGTGGGTTTAGTTGACTGTGCTATTGGTTTGCTATTAAATGAGCTTGAAAAATCAATGGATGGGAACAATCTAGACAGGTATGATTTCTGTGAATTGAAGTCTGAACTAACTTCAAAATTGCAAAAGTGTACAGTTCATGTAAAATTATCTAAGAAATAAGAACAGATGACTGTCAAATCTAGTGAACTATACTCTATTTACAGTTCATAAAGCATACAACATATCCTCTTGCTATAAATCTAATGCATGGATAGGTCCATAAATGCCATCTGAAATGCGGGCACTTGATGTTCACCGATAATTTAGTCTTTGTATTTTACAGTTTTCATGTTCCTTCTGCTTAGTCTGTTTGCATTAACCAGGAATTATGGCATAGTCATATTTCCTTCTAATCACTTTTTTTTGGGTTTTCAAACTTTGAGTGAATAGTCTAGCACAGGAATGGAATTTTAGTACCTTGACTTTTTTTTAACACATTTCAGGTCAGATTCTCTTGATTCAATCCTTCGACTTATTGAAGAACTGTCCGCCATAGACAACTGTTCAAAAGTAATGTCATCAAATGACCAATTGATTAAAGCACTAAGTAATATAGTCAAGTTACCAGATAAATTTGAGGTGAGCATGATGCTACTAACAGTTCATTTATTTGATTGCATGTCCCATTTAACGTCGTGTGCAGTTGACCCTGCTTACTAAATAGTTTTAGTCTGCTGTACTAATTGATACAAATTTTAAGGTATGCCATTCTGGATTAAAAGCATGAAATATATATTTCAAGAATATTTTTTTTTCTTATTGAATATATTTCGGGATCGTAGTTAGGTTGATAAGTGCTATTACTTGTGAGTCCTCAATAGCCTCAGTTCTTACCTGGATTTTAGCACCTGAAAATTTATGCAGATTAGATATAATTATGTTCCAGATGAGCATGCTGATCATGTTATATATTCACAAACTATGCTTCAGGTTGAGGGCTATTGTGCTTCTGTGGTAATCATAATAGCAAATGTTTTGTCTGATGGAGAACATCTCACACCTATTCTGTCCCATGGTATGCCACATTTTGCTGAGCAATATCTCATAATTCTTAGCCATTGTTTGCGAGTTGAAAACATGACTATTTAGATACAGTGTCACAGTGTGGTGTTATATTCATTGTTTCAGATTTACCCTTACTGGAGGGCCTATTTGACATTCTTCCATTGATCTCTGATGATAATGAAGCTCGAAATGCATTTTGGTGTATCTTGACACGTTTACTGCAACAAGTAGAAGAAGGAGAAACCATCACGAACTCTTCAAAACTCGAGCAGTTTGTGTCTATCTTCTTGGCTAAGTTCACCCTCATGAAAGATGACATTGAAAGACATGGGATTCAAACAGAAGCTGATTCCTCAGTTGAGGGTGTTTCTTTGAAGAATGGGCTACGCACATCTGTATCCTTTATAAGAAAATTCAATCCTGATACCATCATGCCCTTCATGGAGATACATAGATCTTAGTTTTCATTCCCATGATAAATGCATCTAAACTTAATATATCATTGCTTTTCCTATGCTACATTTTTTTAAAAACAGCTCAAGGCGATCTGCAGTATCACGGAGAGATGGATTGCGGACAAGTCCTCCTTGGGCAAAGAAGATGCTTCACTGACCGAAAACACCATTGAAAATGCTAAAGAGCTGCTGACTTTCTGCCGGCGTGCAATGGGTATTGCTGACCTGTGAGTTTGGAATACGGAGGTTTTGACGTAGAGGGCAACCACGTACGTGAAAAATTACTAGGAGTTTTGCTGTATAGCACGAGATCATCCGGAAGTCTGTTAAAACCAACTAGGAGTTTTGCTGTAGAGGATCACAGTGATGCATAGATCATCAGTTGCTAAAGTAGATCACTACTCACATAGCTCTGCCAATTTACATTGATGTGGTTACATTATTGGTGCTAGCGATGTAATGAACGCGCATAAAAATGATACGGTGCTAGAGGTTTCTGATCAACTTGTGCTCATGGCTTAACGAGATGCTGGCAAACCTATTTTGTTGCGACCGTTACCAAATTGCTTCTTGTTGTTTCGTGTGGTAACACACCACCACGATTCTATTGATGCAAAATGAGTTCATGCAACTCCGTGATGGTATGGGCTATGTAGGTTGAACTGGAAAGGTTACTTTAAGTTGGGTATGAAAATTTGGGAATATTTGATACTAAATTTGATAATTTGCAAAGCACTGTAAAACGTATATGCATCTTCACGAACCTTGTCTCGCTTTAGGGAGCTTCTAGCAAGTATAATTACTCTTACAATCTCCAACTCTTTGAATAGTTCAAATTCCTATTCCAGATTGTATGACGGAGGGTTGTTAATGGAACCTTAACAGTGATGGTGTTTTTGGGACAAAGTTGCTTGTACGATGGTATTTCATAAAACTCGTTCTTGTCGATGACATTTCTTGAAATTGTGCGCATGTCAATGGTATTTTTTGGATTTTCTCAAAAATGAAATAGACACCCCCATTAATGAATGATGGCGTAGGATGTGGATTGGGGTCCCCAGTATTAGAATACAAAATGCAGAGGTGCTATAGAAATTACAGCAGGAAAAACCTGCACCATCTAGCACAATTCTAGACCTATGATTAACATCCACAGGATGAATGTGATAGTACTAGCTATAAGATAAAATCCTGATGCTACAATACATGACTGATTTAAACTATTAGTTTTTATTGTGACTGCTCAAGTGCTTTGTAAAGGCAATTGAGTAGCAACTTTGTATTAGCAATTCAAACTGCAGAGGATCCGGATCCCGTAGGAATCTGCTAGTATATATACACATGCGTGAATTGTTCAGTATTGTCGTGTGCCATCTTTGAAAAATACCTTTTCTTTTAAGGATTATGAGAGATTTTGTGTGAGCATTGTGTGAATCTCACCTATTTCCTGCTTAGCCTCTCCAAATACAAACATACCAATGTCTAGTATGTACGTTGGGTGAGTTTTATTAGCTTATGGACTCGGTTACTTTCTCTTTTATTATAAACATGATTCTCAAAGGACTCGGTTACTTTCTCTTTTGTTATAAACATAACATGATTCTCAAACTGCTAGAAGATACATTTTGGATAAACCAATTTAATATAGAAATTTATTTAAAAAATCTAAATAATAAAATATTTAAAGTAGTTAATATTTAACTAATTATATGTTAATAATCCATTTTGATTTTTGCACCACTAACTAACTCGGCCAAACACAACCTAAGATGAATCCATAGATTTCACCATAGCGTAAAGCCGTAAAGTTATAACTTATAAGCATATATTCAATTGCCTTTACAAAGCACTCCAGTTTACAATGGAAAAAACACATGCTACAAAACCACATATTTCGATGGTTTTAACTGAAAAAAAGAGGTGACCTCGTTTTCTTTCCTCAATGAGAGCAGAGGCAAGAGAAAAAAAAAAGAGTAAAGTCCATCACCGGTCCCTAAACTTTACCGCTGTGTCATCCCAGTCCCTAAACTCGCAAATCGATCGTTCAAGTTCTCAAACTTATTCGACTGCGTCATCCTGGTCCCTAAACTTGCAGATCACTTATTTAGGTCCTCCAACTTGTTCGGTTGTGTCACCCCGGTCCCTAAACAGGACGGTCTAAAAACTTTATATCAAAAAATAATTCATAACTTTTTCATGTAAACTCTAATGAAGACAAACTTTATATCAAAATTGTAGCCCTCGACACGACCTACAACTTTGTAGTTGAAAAGTTTTTGAATTAAAACTGTTTAGGGTCCCAAAATATTGTTGAATATTTATAGATTTTGAAATTTTAATTTTAAAATTACATATTGGGACAAAAAATGACTTAAAATAAAAAAATTCAACTACAAAGTTGTAGATCGCATCGAGGGCTACAAATTTGATATAAAGTTTGTCTTCATTAGAGTTTACATAAAAAAGTTATGAGTTATATTTAAATATAAAGTCTTTAGACCGTTCTATTTGACCTAGATGATATTCAAATCCAAATTTAAGGACCAGGGTGACACAACTGAACAAGTTGGAGAATCTAAACGAGTGATCTGCAAGTTTAGGGACCGGGATAACACAGTCGAACAAGTTTGAGGACCTGAACGATCGATTTGCGAGTTTAGGGACCGGGATAACACAACGGTACAAGTTTAGGGACCGATGATGGACTTTACTTAAAAAAAAAAAACAAAACAAGTGAAGTGACCTCAGCTGCTGCGGTGCTGCCTGTCCCTCCGCATCACCACACAGCACGTTCCCCGAGCTCGGCCACACCCAGTACCAAGTGCACAGCCGCAGCGCCGCATCACCGCCTTCCATTTCCACATCTAGGGTTTCAGTTGAGTCGAGTTGAGTCCCCCTCCCCCCACGGCCCCACCTCGCCACCGCCGGCCATGCCCGACGCGGCGGCCGCCGCCGCCGCCGCCCAGGACGCCGACGCCGTGATGCGCGACGCACCCGCCGACGCAGCAGCAGGCGGCGGCGACAACGACGACGACGACGGGGATGACGGCACAGAAGAGGACGAGGAGGAGGATGACGACGAGGAGGGCGATGAAGAGGAGCTGCCGCCGGCCGAGGATCCGGCGGCCCCGGAGCCGGTCTCGGCGTTGTTGCCGGGGAGCCCGAACCAGCTGACGCTGCTGTTCCAGGGCGAGGTCTACGTGTTCGAATCCGTGACGCCTGAGAAGGTCGGTCTCTTTACTCCGCTCATCACCTCGTGTCGCTTTCCTTCCGCAATCGTCCTGGAAATGTTTAGCTCAAAAAAATTTCGTGGGATACGATGAGGAATTTGACGTGTTAGTGTTCGTGCGCCGCAATCGGATATATGATTGGTATATTGTGGTTTCTTGTTTGTTTCGAGTCATTCTGTGGGTAGGATTCTTACAGTTCAGGAATTCTGGATTAGTGCTGCTACTCCCACGAAATGTCCCTCTGTTTTTTTTTTAACTTGAATCTCCTTTGCTACTGTCACTTCAGCTAGTTTACAATGTTGATTGTTGGATACTGTTACACCAAAAAACGCAACACTAGAAATGTACTAATTTATTCTATTTGGATAATATGGTTGATTTGGTTTGAAGTATACCGTCATGTTCATGTAGACTTGAATATTGGATATACCTATCTTAGACTGTTAGTAACTTAGCGCAGAGCGGTCCAGCCTCTGAATTAGTGTAAGCTCGCAGTTGCAATACAACAAGTAGCCACTATTATCCTCTGGCTCATAGTTTTAGTAACGGTTAATATGATTCTCTCTCCATCCCAAAATATAGCAACTTGATACTACGATTAGACACCACCTATATTACAAATCTGGACAAGATGTCTATCCAAATTCATAGTACTAGGTGGTATCTATCGTATTACTTGATTGCTATATTATGGGACGGAGGGAGTATGTCAGTTCTTATCACTCACGTAGATTACTAGTAACACATGGTGATGACTTGCTATTTCCTACAAGTTAGTCCTTGGAACTTTTCAGTTGTGCAGTTTGTGACCCGAGTTTTCTGTTGTTTTTGTTCTTGGCTGGAATCCTGATTCATGTAAACAATATGATGGCTTGTATAACTGCTTGCTATAATCCCAAGTTAAATTTATTCCAGAGTTGAGTTTTCTGAATATTCATTTAGGTATAGGTATTTCTTTTGTTCCCTTTTATGGTCCTGTCTTTTCATAAGATGAAGTTTTTTTTCCCAGGTTCAAGCTGTTCTGTTATTGTTAGGAAGAAGTGAAATGCCACCAGGTTTAGCTAACATGGTTTTACCAAATCAACGTGAGAACAGAGTATGTGGAAATAAATAGTTCCATAGTCGCTTGGCAATCTGTATTGTTTTCTTCGTTTATAGTTCATGTTAGAATTATCTGCAGGGTTATGATGATTTACTTCAGAGAACAGACATTCCTGCCAAAAGGGTTGCTTCACTCATTAGGTTCCGTGAAAAGCGGAAGGAAAGAAATTTCGATAAAAAAATACGTTACGCCGTACGCAAAGAAGTGGCACTCAGGTTTGTATCTAGTCTGATTGAGTATTCACCGATCTTTTGCAAATTCTACCACAGAAGAAGGCATAGATGAACCATGTGGATTTGCTACAGTCTTCTAAATTTGTTTAGATCAATCATCATTCTTTTTCATTCTTCTAGTTGATGGAACTGCTTTAGTGTCCATGGGGAGCACATGAACATTTTCATTAGGGGTTCTCAATTTGATTAGCAATCAATGTGTCTACTGCTTGATTGGTTCCATGATCATACCATGAACATCTACCAATATAATTTGCAAGAAAAAAATGCAAGCTCAATTTTTTGTTGTCCCTGGATGCTAGTTGCTCAATATGTTCCAACAATTAATTGCATGGCTCCATTAGAATAAAAATGTAACAAATTAACTGACTTAAGACTGGAGGTCTGGAGCTGTACTTCTGTGTAGCTTTAACTAAGAGCAAGATGTACCATATCCATTGTATCAATGAGCAATGGATGGATGTTATGAGTCTTTTTTGTGGTAAAAAAAATCTAATGATTTATGCTGCTACCTATTACTTTCTGTGTCCGATTGTTTTAGCCATCACCATTGTTGTCACCTCAATCTTTCCAGCTCCATCTCCTTTGTGAATTTTGTGTTTGTTGAATACTGACAGACAAGAATGATTGGGGCCCTGGCCAGCAGTGATGGTACAAATAGTTCGCATACATGCTAGGCACAGCATCAATGGATAGAAGCTAGGCTGGAGATAGATTAGGCATAGGTAGGAGGTAAAGGATGGGATGATAGATCCCGTGGATTACATTGTTTGCAGACCCAGGCGCATAAAATTCTGCACATCAAGCTATGGAATCAACTAGCAACTAAATTGTATGACTAGATAAACATTACTTGGCTTGAAAAAATTGATGTTGCTTCTACTTACTCTCAGGATGCAACGTAGGAAGGGTCAATTTGCCGGAAGAGCAAATATGGAGGGAGAGTCCCTATCTCCAGGCTGTGAACTTGCTTCCCAGGGTTCAGGCCAAGATTTTCTATCTCGAGAATCAAAGTATTTCTTATCTTTTGATAGTCTATATACTCGTTCTGTCTAATTATTGTTTAGTAGAAGACTTATCTTCTTTCTGTAAAATACTTGTTGCAGGTGTCAGAATTGTGGCACTAGTGAAAAAATGACACCGGCAATGCGCCGTGGTCCAGCTGGTCCAAGGACTCTGTGCAACGCCTGCGGACTGATGTGGGCTAACAAGGTATTGTTGCATGTATTAATGAGCTAGTTTATTGTTTATCTTTCTTTCTGATAACTAATGGGCTTCTCTTCATCTTTGTTTTGAGGACACCTATCCCATTTCATAAATTGATAGCATTAGAATACAGTAATATTCTCGTGGAGGTGGATTGCATAATTACATTGCTTGGTTCAACTGGCAAAAACATTCTTCATGGCATGCATGCCTCTTGTTATGGCGTTACAGTACAGGGCATGTTAAGGCAGTGGCCCTGTTTTGCTATCTTATGCGGTTGATAATGCACTTGCAGCAATGGTGTATATGCAGTACCAACTAGGGTAAAAAGAGTCATGGTTTTTGAACCATATTATGAAGACATGGACACATGGTTATATCTGTCATATTGTACCTTTTCTTTTATTTTTCGTTGGCTTTCTAGGTACGCCGTTGACTTCAATAGCTATATGTCAGAATTGCGGGTATGGTCATTTTGGAAATTAGGGGGTATACGAAAAAAATAAAAGTAAAGAGAGCCTACCATTGTTGTTAATTAAGCCGCTTGTTTCATGTTATTGTTGACTGATTCTCTGTGCAAGGAACATATCTCAAACATCACTATGTGACTTCTTATTCTGATGTTTGCAATTTGCCTTTGCTGGCACTAGTCCCTGTGTCTGGTAATTGCCTAATTGGTATCTGCAGGGTACCCTGAGAAATTGCCCCAAGGCAAAAGTTGAATCTTCTGTGGTTGCAACTGAGCAGGTTCATTTTTTTAATAATTATTATCAAGAGTTTGAAAATGAAATCATTGCTGAACTGTCAATATTTCCATACCCGCAGAGCAATGCAGCTGTCTCTCCGAGTGGAATCGACAACAAGGAATTGGTGGTACCAAACCCTGAAAACATTACCGCAAGCCATGGCGAAGTGTAAGTGCCACATTTCCCGTTCCAAATTTTGTTCAGGCAGATGATTTGATTGACAGTGGATCATATCCTTTCCAGCATGGGCGACAGCACTCCGGCAAATGAAGCCGAGATAGGAGCGCCAAAGGCGCAGTCACAATAAGTTTATGTTTAACCTGTCATGATTGAAACCAAAAGATTCTGGATTCTTTGCCTACAGGCTATACAGCTAAACATCACAATAGAAGGTCTTTTTCCTGACCAAAGTATACTGATTCTCCTCAAGTGTACAATTCTTGCTTGCCAGCACATGTAAATGTAATTGTAATTAACATAAAGAGCCTGATTGGTGCCTGTTGTGTAAACCCCTCATTCTCATGACATCTAAGATAGCACATCAAGCAGACTGTCATGTACTTCCGGCTTTGGAGCTGCTTCTGAAGGGGAGTTGTCTGATGGTGCTTAGTGTCCCTTCCTAACTACTACGCCTGTAAAGTTGTACCAACTGATCCTTGTACAGTTTGTATTAATGTGTCGTCTCTGTCTTTCGTTTTCCGTTTTGCTTTGTGTATGCCTCTCTAAAATTGGCATTTCGCTGTCAAGATGGGAATATGGGATGATGCCATCGCAAAAGGGAAGGAGCCCCTGTGATGATGCGACGGTGCCTGCTGGGTTACGAAATCCCTGGGGAAAGAAAAAGCATCCACTCACAGGGAGCTCGTGCTACGGTTGATGAATTATGATGATGGCTGGCTGGTTGGCTGCTGTGTGTAGAGCACCCCCCCTGACCCAAACGTCCAGGGTGCATCCTCCTATTTCGTTTGTATCCAACGACGTTTTCTTTCTGAAGCTAAACACGTTACACGGACAAATATTGTAATGGTACATATGATCTTAACAGAACAATCGATCACTTTAAAAAAAAGAACAATCAATTTTAGTACTCTCTTTATCTCATATTATATAAAACTTTTGTATTATAAGGCTGCATTCTTTCAAAGGAGATTGGGGAGAGATTGGGGAGATTGTCACTCGTTTTCCGCGCACACGCTTCCCAAACTACTCAACGGTGTATTTTTTGCAAAAAAATTTTTATATGAAAGTTGCTTTAAAAATTCATATTAGTCTATTTTGAAATTTAAAATAGTTAATACTTAATTAATCATGCGCTAATGGCTCACCTCGTTTTGCGTATTTTCCCAATCTTCTCAATCCCCTCACCCTCAAACACAGCCTAAGTTGCTTTGATTTTTTAAAGACTTTTTTTACCTTTAACCAAGTTTATAGAAAAAAATTAGTAGTATTTACAACAACGTATAAGTTTCATTAAATTTAACCAAACAAATATATTTTGATAATATATTTGTTTGGTTGAAAATATTGCTATATTTTTTATACATTTAATTAGACTTAGAAAATTTAGCTAAAAAAAAGTCAAAACACCATTGAAAATACCAAAAGTAAACTCGAAATAGAGCAGTAACAAGAAACTGAAAAGTAACCACTCTCACTGAAATACTACTAAGCAAGTCTACCGGAATACTGTTACGCTGACGTAGACATGAGTAAGCGCCCAGATTACATACACACACCTATCCAAACCCCATCATCCAGTTACGCCGACTTTGGGGATTATTCGCGTCTTCACCGACCTAATATAAGCGTGGTTACAAATCTCAAAACCAACAAAACGAACCATCTTCACCTAAACCCGTCCACACGCCGGGTGGCCGCCAGTTCAGCGAGTGACGACGACGACCCCCCACGCGCGGCGGCCGCGCCCATCTCCGTCGCCTCCCCGCCGGCCATGTCGGTGCCGCCCGCCAGCCACCGCCAGGTTCCCCCTCTTCTCCACGCCATGGTAGATTCCTCTCCCTCCGCATCGCTCTACCGTGGCTGATTTTTTTTTTGTTTTTTTCTGGTTGCTGTAGGTGTCCCTGAGGGGATCGAGCGCGAGGGAGATCACCCGCGACGCGCTGCTGCAGAAGGTCTCCGAGGAGCGCCAGCTCCGCAGCCACCTCCGCCGCGCCGCCGCCGCGGCGCTCTCCATCCAGGTACCTCTCCACTCCTCTCCTCTCCGCGGCCTACCTACCAGCCTCCCGATCTTATCTGGGAATCTCGTCGTTCTTCATGAGATATACTTTTACTTTTACGTTTTATTCTTTTGCGAACTTCGATTAGATCGTGCTGTGCCTTGTTGGTGTGTTAGAAGCAATGCTTTTCTGGAGATTGTGTGGAGATGGATTTGATTTGTTTGAATTAAGTGCGAGGTCATATGAAGATTTTTTTTGGGAGGTTGATGTAATTATTGGTCCACAATGATTACGAATTTAGGATGCGCATATCAATCTGAATGAAAGTGTTGCTGGTGCTAAATTTTGAGAGTTGGTTTAAGCATGGGTGAGAGGTCTGACAGGTAGAGAATATTGAGAAACCCATAATTGCTCAGTGCCTTTCTAGATATTTCATTAACAAAGTCCTGCAAAGATACTGAGAAGCTTATAATTAGTTTTTGCATAAATAATATCAGCAGCTAACCAAGTCTGCGAACCACCTTATGTGGCCATTTCAAAAAGAAGTCCACAGAGTCATTAGGCATGTGGCTGTTGTTCATATGTGGGTATGAGAAACACAAAAATGATGGATGGTTAAAACATAAAAGTAGGATAGAAGTCTTCATGATCCTCTTGTTGCTCGATGTGGTTAGATTGGCAGGATGGTTTTGGTGCTACAGTTGTCTGTGAGGTGGAGAAATCATGGATGGCTACTAGAGTACTAGACAGGTTGATAAGTTGATTAGTGGCTTGATATGTAATATATTTAACGATTTTGTGTTTGCACGAATTTGCTACATTAGGGTAAGACTTTCAATTTGATGCAAACTTGTGAGGAGTTTGTGATAATCCTGTCTTTGTAGGTAGCCTTAACACACAATAGATGTGCAGATGGTCAAATCAAATGGATTAATTTATTGCAGGTTCAACATTTAAAATTAGGTTTATATGTGATTTTCCCTCAGTGCAAACAGCACCGGGAGTTCTCTGACAAGAAACTTGATGCCCTTGCAAGCTGCTGGAGTACTTAAAATATGTCTTGATTATTAACGTGTTTGGAGATCAGTTAGTCGATTGTTATCTCCTTTCTCTTTATAGACACAACCTCAGACAGTAGAATTTTTTTAGGATCATGCTAATCCACTATGTTTCTTTTTCCTGTGTGTGGGTCGTTCTTCTGACCATTAAGCTTGATGCAGAAATAGTTATTTTTATCATGGGAAATATACATCCAAAGTAGACATAAAGGCCCTCTCAGTGCTCTTGTATATGATCTAGATTTCTGCTGTACTTCTTTCAAACTACTCTACTGTTGCACTTGTACACTTATACAATTGATGCTTTTGTTTTTTGCTTTGTTATGCCAGCGTGTTTGGAGAAGATACTCAGTCATAAGAATTGTTTCAGAACAGCTCCATGAAGAGTGGGAAGCATTAATAAACCAGCCTGACATTAATCTGACAAAACAATGGATATCAAGCATGATGCTTAGACCATTTCTTTTCTTCGTTACTCAACCATCAAGCTGGTACAAGGGACAACAGGACAAGACTCTAAACTCGATTTCGGCATGCTTCAAAATCATCTTGAATAGCATAAACTCAATGGGTATGCCTTTTTCATAATCAAAGTTTGACTTTACCGACTTCCATCTTGACCTTTTTGTACTTTATTTTCTCCTCCTTAATGAAATGACACGCAGCTCTCCTGTGTAGTTTGAAAAAAAATGTTTTACTTTACCCATTCCACTAGTTGTGGTTAACTCCTATAAAAATTTATTTATGTAATACTTCCTTTTGCTGTAAGGATTATAATCCTTTATATTATTCAATCCTTGTATGGCGATGACCTAATTGTTAGTTCTAGAATGGAATTATGTACTTAACAGAAAAGAAATTGCAGTCGACGTGAGATAAGCAGATACTCCCTCCGTCCCTAAATATAAGGGATTTTGGTTGGATGTGATGTATCCTAGTACTACGAATCTGGACAGAGACTTTAATATATATCATATATTTAGTACTAGGATACATCATATCCAACCAAAATTCCCTATATTTAGGGACGGAGGTAGTATTTGTTTTGATATATATATATATTAGTACTGTTTGGTTGAGCAGTGCAATATGGAAGGAATATTACAGTAACTTTTTTCTTGAGGCTCTTGATCCACTGAGCTGGCACAAATGGGTAGTCTCTTCTCGGTGAGATTTTTTTTTTTTTTTTTGGGGGGGGGGTGGAATGTAGCCTCTAGATATTACTGTTTCAAGAAAAAAGAAGTTCTTTGAATTTGAATGTAAAGTGCATGCTATGCTTTGATAGACAAGAAGTATGAAGTGGGTCTACGATATGTAACCTTGTTTAATAATGGACAGATGCATGCTAAGCTACAGAGCGAAGCTCCCAACCAGCTGGCCTCCATGTTTAAAGATAATACAAATATTACCACATAACTAGTTTAGAATGCATAGGTCCATAACTGTCCTTCAATTATCATTTGGTAGATGAGGTTAAACACAAAAAGCATGAACTATCTTGGAGAGCTAGCTTTCCTTTAACCATTACAGTAACAATAAGAACAGCCTTTAGTCCCAAGCAATTTGGGGTAGGCTAGACAGGAAATCCAAGTCAAACCACATGAACCACAAGAAAAAAGGAAAAAAAAAACTACTTAAACCACAAAAAGTGATTTTCTAGGCCATAGTTCTGGCACATGGATAGCTACTTTCCACAAACTCTTATCCAATGCCAAATCTTTCGATACATTCCAAGCCTTCAAGTCTCTTTTAATTCCTTCATCCCATGTCAGTTGTGGCAGGTCATGCTTTGATTTAACCATTGCACCTTCCTTTTCAACTGACATGTATCTTTCCTCTGTAGATGCAAGCAAAAATTTATGTTCCTTTGCTGTGGGCACGCCAGAAGAAAGGTCTATTTGGCTTTATCAGGCAAAAAAGTTGATTTCACTGTGCTCATTCATTCTTGCCAGGTGTAACCATTCTTGCTGTAAGGATGGAAACATGGTTCAGATTACTGACACTGCTATGAGGTTGGCTGTGTCTTTAACTGATTGCAAAACATGGAAAAAAATTACAAGTGAGGATACTAGAGCTGCTGATGCATCTGTGGAGAGCTTGATTGAATTTATTGGTGCAAGCCAGAGTGGTACATATAGTTGTCTTAGGAGATATATAGTAAATCTTGGTTCTCATGCCTTGGAGAAGAAAATTTCTTCAATCTCAACAGATGATCAGTTCCTGATTACTGCTAGTGCAGTCACCATTGCGCTACGACCTTTCCATTCTATGAGAGCAGGGAGGGGTGCTGATCTAAATGGTGCTTCAAAGGAATACTTTACACTTATACTCACAATTCCGGATCTTTGCAAACGCTTGCCACCTCTGTTGTTGCCTGCTATAAAGCACATATCTATACTACAACCATCCCTAGATATTTTACTGGTAAGAGTTTCAAGATTTTGATATGGACAAG